GATTTATTAATAAATTGTATTTGCAAATCCACACAGATCAAAGTGGCAATATTAAAATGAATAACTAGAGGAAATGATTTTCAACTCAATTTCTTATGTTTGAGGCATATTACTTTTTTTTTTCTTTCTTAATATCCTTTAAAAGAAAGAGTTCCTTGACCCCTGTAGCCTCACCTTGAAAGATTTCTGTGCAAGAATTTTCCCCCAAATCTGCAAAGCTTCAAGAGGTAATGTTCAACCAAGTAGATTTTAGAAGTGAGGAGGGAGTACTTCATGGTCAACTGGCTATGAAATCCTGCTAGCTGACCACAGTCTCAAGCATGCAAACTTGCTGCATTAAATCTAAGACCTTTAAAAGGGTTAAAGGGTGGGGAGACTTCACCCTACCATTTATCAAGGAAGACAGCAAAGCCCTTGACTTCTTTGCTTAATCATCTCCTCTCCCTTTTCTCCTGTGCTGGGAACCGAGCTGGGGTACCTGCAGCCCGTCCTGTGGTCTTCACAAAATACCCAAAGGGTGAAAGCCCTTTCCCCTTCCCAACCACCTGAGGTCTGCAGAAGAAAGAACATCTGAAAGCCTGCAGGCAAGGAGAGGTCAGGAGCCGGGTATTACCTTCTGTACGTTTGGATTAGCCTATGATAGCTAAATAAACTGACTTAATGTCTAATGACATTTTCAAACAATAGCTAATAAAATTACCCAAAGTACGCAGAAACAAAAGATGCATGAAAATGCCATTATGGTCTCTAACACATCCACATAACAGTGAATTTCAGTGCTTTGGACATTCAGATTAGAGGTCAAATATAAATGAACCCAAGTGAAATGATCTGCTAAATAGAAAAGACAGAAATACTCCTGCCTTGCCCATTATTATCATTCCCACTTGTACGCAACTATTGGTTTCTGTCCTATTTTTGGCAGAGAACCATGAATTTGGAAACTGAAATGTGGTCTTTTGAAAATAATTAAATAAAAAGCATTTTCTGAAAGGAATCACAAGCTCTGAATACTTCTGGAAAGCCGCTCAGAATTAGCTGGGTTAGCAGGTCTGAGGGATTTTTGCTAAAACCACATCAGCACCCTGAGTCACGTCAGCAGGGGAAGGCGCCGTGATGGGTGCAGATGCTATCGCTCCTCTCCCAGCCTGTTTGTCACTGACCCACTGCAGGTTGACCCTCCTGTACCAGTGCATCTGGGGCAAGGGAAATAAAACTCAGGCACCTGTCTCGGCAGGTTGAGCTCACTGTAAGGCACCATACCAGAGTGCACTTTTGTGGTCCTGTTTTGAAATCGAGCTGCAGGAGCGCAGACATGCTTCCCTCCGCTGACACTGCTGCAGGGCTGGCAGCCCCTGCCAACAGGAAGGCTGCACCGCCAGGCAGGGGGAAGCTGCTCGCATGTTTCTCAAAATAGGGATGCCGGTTCTGAAGAAAGAACTGGGAGTAAGTATCTGGGTTACAGCGTGGGCACAACTGCAGGCTCGTCTTTAAAGTTTTCCATCAGAGTTCATGCAACCTGAAATGTCATAGCAGATTAGAAAACAAGAGGCACTAAAAGTTGTCCTCATGCAAAAGACAGCTCTAAAGCAACTTATCTTAAATTTGCAAGTCCTCCTTACTTCAGCTGATTTGCAAATTCAATTTCTTATTTCTTTTTTAAAGTGATTACCAAAGCATTTTCAGGCATGTTATGACCAACTATAAACTTGCTGAATTCTCATGCTAAGATAAAACTCAAATAAACAGCCCTAAATGAATTCCCCTTAATATTACTTTTTAGTTCTATACTTAAAACAACAGCACTGAAAAACAGGAAAAAGTGTCAGTCAGGGACTGGAAACATCTGCGCAATGGAATGAGGAGATCTTTGCCCACAACGCAATCTCTCCATCGTGCACTAACTGATCTGCTGTTTGAGCTCCTCTGAAGGTACCATCGTTTCAGCTAGGAGTAGAAGCATCTCGAGGAGTAGTTCTGATAACCCTTTTATTTAAGTAACTATTCCTTACTGACAACTTATGCATGGGTAACAAGGGCCCAGATGCACAGCCACTAATTCACTAATGTCATAACGATGCTTCGACAAAACCACTTCAGCTCATAAAAATAATATTCAAGCAACCACAGTCCTAAATAACTACTTTTACTTTAGCCTTACGATTTGTTTAATCCATCTGGAATAACTCTACCTAAGTCTAAGATACTGCATTAAGCATTCCTAAAAGATTAACCTTGGAAAGTCATGATGTTGCTGAACAAAACTGAACAGAACTTACTAATCTTTGTCTTATTTAGCTTCTGTAAGTACAAAATATTACCAGAATTGTCTATCAGTTTGTATCAGCTGCAGCAGCGTGTCAGAAACATCAGCATCTCAAACACGTGGTGACTTCATCCCTTGAACCACCACAATGTATGCATACACAGAAACCTGCTCTGCTCCAGCAGGCCTTTCACACTCACACAGCTACTGCTTACCAGGAGCTTTATGACTGCACGCTAACTTCAGGGAACTACCAGCAATGGTAACTGTATTCGGGGCCGTATTTAAGTCAGCAATCATCAAGCCACTATCAGCAACATGAGGCAGCTGAAAACTAAGCCTGGGAGGAGACCCCCAGGGCTTCTGTGGTCAGGATCTTCTCCTTCACAGGGAGGCAGAGCAGAAGTGTGTGTGGTTTTGTTGATGCCTCACGCTTACATTGTGCTCCTGCCCAGTTGAATCTCTACCATGTGCACAGAAAAAATATCTGCCTTGTGTTTAAAGGTGTTGGAAGTATGGGCTAAATTTCTTGACAGGGCAGGCCACAGAAAGGGCTACACCTTCACCTAGGCAGGCACTTGCTTACTTTGTGATGAGACAGATTAAAAAATAAGTCACTAAAGGAAAACGTCAGGCGTCCCTGTTCGCCTGTTGGCCAGGAGCGAGCCTGAGCACAAAGCCCCACAGGTAGGCCCCAATCAACACCAGGGCGAGCGCGACACCAAGGGCATCGGCAAAGGGATGGACCCGCGCCATCTAAGCACCACAGCCTCCACCACCATGCTCAGAGCCACCACTAACTGCATGGCATCAGCACGTAGAGATCACACACCTTTACCTTCCAACAAGCCTCAGGGAAAGAGCGCGAGACAGACCCGATCAGGATAAGGCACAAAGTGTTGGGAAGGGACGCATGGTGCGGCCTGTCAGCGCCAGGGGAGCAGCAGACGCACAGGAGCCACATTATTACCCGCTGATCTCCCCAGGGACCGAAGAAGTATTAATTCCACCTCCCAATTGCTGCATGTTGCTTCTGCACAAAGCCCGTACGCTCAAGTTTATGAGGTCTGAATTCAAAGTGAAAGCCCACTTCGCCTTAAACTCTGCAGGCAAGCGTCACTGATATTTCATCAAACGTAAATCAGCACAGTTTGGGGGTATTTGCTCAGTTTCAAAACAAACCACACATCATGGCTTAACCAAAAGAGAGATAAATATAAAATATTACAAACCATTAAATAAAAGGGAAAAAAAAGCGTAATTCTGGACCGCCACACACTGCCTCCCCATAAAAATACGAGTTTACAAAAGTGCTTTGTTATCTATCAGTTTGACAAATCCCCCAAAATACCCAAAATAGAGCATGTCACGGAAAATTATACGTACAGCAAAATTAATAGTTGAATCTACAGACAGTGCTACTACCTTTATAAAGACAAAAAATGGAAAACCGAGTTTTACTTTAATATGAACAAAAAAGCTTATCCAAACTGAAAATGTAATTGAACTAGGCAACTACATCGATCATAAACACTAGCAGTCAAAAAAGTTCGCAAGTGCTACCTTTAAGTCCACAGAAATATTTGTCCTGTTGTGAAGTTTAAGGTTACAAGGTGCTTTAAGAGCAAAAATAAACAACTAGTGGCATAAAATAACAAAACACGTACATTTTACGTACACCAAAGAGCATGTTACATACATTCTTCATACATTTTAGGGGTCAACTCCTTTTTGGTTAATAAGTAAAAGCATCCATTACACTTCCTGCTTTGGGCAGGGAGGAAAACACATAAATTAATTCTTCGCTACAGTTTTAAAAGGCAAATTATTTAAGGACTATTTGTATTCAAGCTAAGTACACAGAATACTGATATTATACATTTTTCATTCAAATGGAAGGAATTTACATTTACTTATCATCTCATTAAAGTAAGAATGATATAGCAGTGGCATTTTCCTTTTTTTTTTTTGTTTTGTTTTAATTAAAATGTTCTTTCTGCATGCTTAAAATAATTCCAAGGTTTACATTAAAGTATTTTTAAAGTATACATTGGCTCTTTTTCAGTTCTAATGCTGGTTTCTGTCTAAACTCTACAGAGGCCAGGTGGATGCTACAGGCTTTTGCTATGTAGCATTGGTGTCTGAAGGTGGGAAGGGTTTGGCTCCTGACAAATGGAGCCAGTGAGGAGAATGCTCTAAGGAAAACCAAATTTTACAAACACAGTATTTTTGCCAGTTTGGCTCACTTTGTTCAGGGTTTGTTGTACTGTTAGCATGCACAGCTTTGCTGAACAGCTACTTCTCTGGTAAAAATTCTTTTTCTGGTACCAAAGCAGCTCCCCCCAGCACTATCAGTCCCCTGCTATGCAGCTATACCAAGGGGTGGACTGTTCTCAAACCACAGTAATGTCCTTTCAGCTAAAAAACAAAACAAAACAAAATCCTATGACAGTTGTGAATACAGTAAACAAAATAGGCCTTATGGCAGGATCAGGCCCTATGATTAACACCCCCTTCACCCTTCGGACTTAATCACTTTGAGATATCACTGTGGATGCCTTGTTTTTGCAACTGCCCTCTCCGCCAATAGCAGCGTGCAGCTGAAGCTTAAAAGATTATGTGTATGTATGTGCAGGGGAAGTCACATGTAAATACAGATTCGGTGCCACGAACAGGGCTGGTGCAGCCGTCAGCGGGCGTTTTCTAAGCCTCCCCTATTGTTTACTCTTGCTAGAGAAATGAGAGATTGGAGTTTCTGCTGAGCTTACTTTCTAAAGGTTCTGGTTCGATGGGCAAAATGCTTCTGCCAGCCATCCAGAAGCTGCAAGGGGGTGCCTACCAGGTGAGATTTTTTAAGAAGTTGACCTTTTAGATTACTTCTGTGGGGTTTTGTTTGTTTGTTGTTTGTTGTTGTTTTTTTTTGAGTCTGGAAACAACTGGTAATAATGTACCTTGAATGAAAATGAGTAGCTCCATCTTTACAAATCAGTGTTCAGTTTTTAGATGTCAGTTCTTTAGGAAAAACATAATTGTTTAAACTTTTCATGATACTGTTTCCTATTTTTATCTACTTGTCTAAAAGAAAGTTACAGTAGGCTTTCTTATGCATATCAATTTTCATTCTCTTGTACATCAGGTTGCACTTCTCACTTACTGTTTCTTGCATGTACTGAGTATGTGCTTGTAAGGTTTTATTATTAAATGCTCTGAATATAGGAGATCTTCAATTTTAGTTTACATTAAATCCTGAACAGTATGACAGACATGAAGCAGAGGAACTGATCAAAAATTAATCTAATTAGCCTTTAATAAAGCAGAACAGTTATCAGTGAAAGTGAGATACTTACGAATCTTCTATTCATAGCACAATAATAAAACACACAGCAAGCCATACTGTGAAATATTACTGCAAAGCAGCTAGAAGACACTGAAATAGCCAATTAACTAATTAATTACAATTAAGCTGCATTTTCATTTATATTACAAAAGAAGGTAAGCCAAAGGCAAACTTCAAAGCACTAAAAATTTCCTCCTTTCAGCAGAAGCTTTAAATAAGCAGAATGACTGCTGTCTTTTTTAGCTTCCACAAGCATTTTTAACTATGCTAATCACCATGATATTTGCAAATCTATTTTCTACTGTACTTAGCACAAGACCTACTTCGCTTTAGGGCTCTGTCAAATGAACTTTATGTCCTTTTTATAAAAATGTTAAAGCAGCATAAAAAGGCAGCATACTACTTCTTACGCCAGCATCATATTCTTCACGTATTTGATTGGCCCCATCATTTAAGTCAAAACAGGATTTGCTTTGGATTTGCAGGGATTTTAATAGAATTTGAACTGATTCTGAAAAGATGAAAAAAGAAGTTGATTGAACGTCTGGACAAAGTGATTCATGTGAACATCTATGATCATGATCTGCATGTCTGAATGACTCACTTTAACTGCTGTGTTCAGGATCTGAACAGCAGATAAGGCTTTATCAGAGTATACTGTAAATTTTCCATAACAGCTAAAACATGCAATGTTCATTTAAGTGAAGATAGGCTAGCTGGCTCCAGCGACCTCCTCACAAACTGTGGTTTAATGTTCGTATGCACCCTGTATCTGTGGGCTATGTAAAAACAATCGTTTATCAATCATTACTAAGAAACTGGCTCTGTGACAAACTAATTACTCCTCATGCTTCCAACCATTAGCACAGAAGGAAGCAGATATACAAAGTAAATTCATAATTGAGGCTCTATGCAACTTCCGCAGTAACAAAATCTGCTACAGGAGTTGTGCTGGCTTACTGTGGTGTGAAAGATTTTTAATAAGGTGTATACCTATTGGGAACTGGAAGAAAATAATAATAATAAACCTGTTCAAAGAAAAAAAAAAAACAAAAACAATAATTGCTTAATGACATGTGAATTGATAAAGTTCAATTAGTAAGCTGTAGAATTTATTTCAGTGTCATTTATTGGGCTGTACTCCCAGGAATGTGTAAAAATCCTAAGCAATGCTTCCCAAAATACCATGGTGTCCTGGTTTCAGTTAGAACAGAATTAATTTTCTTCCTAGTAGCTGGTGGAATGCTGTGTAATAGGCAGTTACAGGTAGTATACTTGAGATAAAACTCCACAGATATCTTTGTACTGGCAGACTTGATTCAGAGAGCCAAGGTTTACACAGGTCCAAGACTCCCTTCACGCGTTGCTCGTCCTCACAAAGTACGTGTGGTTTCTGCCATTGGAAATGCTTGTGTGGCCTCATACTGACACGCACAGAAGAACTGAGCTCCGTTAAAAATAACCAAGGAAGCATTCCCACCCACACACCTGTGAAAGCATAGCCAAGGAGTCAAGTGACAGAACATCAAATACTTACGCTTGTCCAAGGCTTGGCAAGCATCCTAGAACAGAAGGTGGTAAAGGTCATTATGGGCTTTTTGGAGTTTGATGGATCAACCCGTACATGTAGGTGCTACAGGGAGCCCTACAAGACATCAAGACTATCAACAGAGAATTTTGATGAACAACAGGTAAAAATCCCTGTCACTGATGAAGCGGAATGGGAAGCTGCACAAGACAAGCAGGACAAATCACCACCTGTTTGTGGCAGTGAGATGCCTCAGTTAATTTCAAGCCCCTCGTAAATGAAAGCTCCTACTCCAGATCTTACAGTCTAATAATAGCCATCCTTACATCAGTATTAATATTACACTAACCCTCCTAAAATGTTCGGTGAAAATACTGTCTCCAGACACTATAAATGGAATAAGATGAAATCAGCAAATAGGCAAGTTCATCTCAGTCACAGAGGCAGCTAGGAACTGGTATTTCCTTCAGCACGCAAGAGAAGTGAAAAGTCGTAGGAGCATCCAGAACAAGATGTCTCAGACTTTTGCTGACAATGATCAGGAAGGTATCTGCTATCTTCAATGGATGTGACAGATTCTGGAGTCATTTCAGCCACATTACAGCTGCTGGGGCAGATTATTCCCTTCAAACTCTAAACTCAATCCAGTTTCATAGTGACTCTTGTAAGCGTTATATGGGAAAGAACTATGTCAATATTTTTGGATTTACTGGAAACCTGGTCCTTGCAATCTGAGTGTTTCACAAGTGTCCTACACAGCCAACGTGATCTCTTGTTGATAAGTCACCGAGTCAGCTTTCACTTATGCTTCTAATAGGAAATGACATTATATTATGGTTTCCAGGAAAACTACCATCTGTGCCTCCTGTCAGTCTGCAACTGGCAGTAAAATATCTGTGAGGAATGTTTCCACGCTGCCAGCTCCGAGCAGTGCTCCGTCACAAACCCCAAGCACGGGTGAAGCCAGCAAGGAGAGGGCTGAGATAAGATAAGAGCTGCTGGTTCCACCCTGCCAGCTCACCATGCTGGCTCACCGACAGGGCAGTCCCAGCAGGGCTGGTGCCTCTGACGCTCCGTCACTGGGATGAGCTCAGTCCCCGATATCTAGAATAGGGATAATTTGCACTGATTTTGAAAGCTGAGAATTGGTCTTTAATGGAGTGATGTTGATTTAAATAACGTTCAGTTCATGAACGATCCTTCCTCCTGGAATCCTGAGCAACTCCCAAAACACTGGAAATTCAGAGATCTGGCCACTTGCCATCTTGAAGAGTTGCAAATGATCTATACAAAGAAATTTAGCATAAAGCTGTCTTGTGACTTCCTCTTTTCTAAAATACTAAAAAGGTCTCAACAGAAAATTTTAAATTTGTATCCAAGATCTGATCTTTACACACACACAAAAGATGTTTCATAAATGCATTTTTCCCCCATAACCAGTCTTTTGCCCCAAACTGACATGTTATTCTACAGTTTAAGGCATCTGTAGATACTGGGGGGGTAAAAGTTAAATTTTATCCTATAATAAAGATCCTTTATTGAATCATGCACCCATCATCTGTTCATTAAGTCAGAAAAAAAAATAATAGTTTCACGAAAGACAGTGGGACAAATTGCAGCTTCTGTGTAAATCTATCGAGTCCCTGCTACATTCTGAACATTAACTTCAAGCTATTGAGAGTGCTTTCTGAAGGTGTATGTAATCCTTGTCTGACCCACTGACTTAAGTATTTCACATTAAAAGAAACTGCAACTTACATTCAGTTTTAAATTGAATGTAAATATTTGCTACAGCTAAAGGTCTTGTGCGCTCTCCAAGAAACTGAACTTGTACATTTCAATTAAGTCTTCTGGTTTCTGTGGCTCACCAGTTGTAAGCATAGTGGAAATTGTGCCACAGGTTACAGCTTTTTTTTCTTAAAGGCTTTCACTGAACCAATTACAAAACCAAACAACGCGCAGAACAATTTTCATTCATCTGAATTGATGCTGAACTTTTTTTACTTTAGATTTGTTGCTACTTAGTTTTAAAGCAGGAAAGCTGTATCAAAATCGGCTTCCATGTGCCCCCACAGCGTGAGCAAGGAGCTGGAGGGGCAGCACTAACTGGCTGATCACACTGAACATGGAACGGAGCCGTCTGCTCCGCTGACATTTAGAAGCTGTCATTTCTCATAGTCCAACTAGCTTTATAAAATCCAGAATTCAGAACCCCTTATGAAGCTTATTTTCTAATACTACGGTCATTCTAATTATTATTGTTATTTAATACACTGTAAGTTACTGGGAGTATGAGTACTAGTAAAGTAGCTCCTTTTAATTTTGTAAATAACTCAATTTTTAAAGAAAAATATTACCAAGTAGATATGTGGGTATCTAAAAATTGTGACTTATTTCAGAAACCCAGGCAGCTAAGGCTTGTAGACAAACACAGGTAATGACTGCATATGCACTGTTTCACTTGAACATGAAATTATTTAGCCTAGTGGACACGCCTTCCTTTACAAGCGCACAAAAGTAAGAGATCCCACTTCTTGCAGTAATGAAACCTTGAGCCACAACAATTCCATGATATAAGTCCACTGTCCACTCTCTGGCAAATCCCTTCTCGCTGTAATACCCGCTGAAGAAAAGGTCTGTCATGTTTTCCATGCAGAGACTCTTTGGGAATTCAGTGATACAGCGAAAGTCGGGAAGAGGTGGAGCAGGAGACCAGTCATACTCACTCATCTGATACTTGGGCACTGCGATAAGGGAACAACACAACCAAGCGTACAGAGTTAACCCCTGCAGAGCCCTGGGCAGCCGCTGCAACCCAGCTCCTGCTGAGGCTGCCCTATGGGGGCATGAACAGCAGGAAAGGGATGGATTTAGCTGGGATGGCAGATGTGCCTGGCAGACAGCATCCATCTCTGAATGTGGGACAGAAGAAATTCCTTCAGTTCCAGTCTGACAGAAGACACAGTTCTGAACCTGAAGACACAGTGTTGAAAAGACAGTTGCCATTACCTAAAAATAAGTTTTCCTCTTTCTTCCAAACGAGCACCCGAACTCGCTTGATGCTTACTGATTTGTTGACAGCAATTTGCAGAGAACTTAGTTCTGGCATGGCCTTAAATGCACTCGGTTTCCCAAAGAAATGAACAATCTAAACAAAATGTGCAGCTGAAAAATTGTTAATATTTTATATTAGAGGGAATGATATATATTTATATAGCAATAATAAAATCATATAAACAAACCGTTGAAACAGAAGCAAAAAAATTGCATTTATTTAGTGGGCTGCTACCAGGCCAGCAGCAGTAAGCAGTTTATCACAGAAGTGGGAGCTGAATGACACCGCAGCTATAAGGCAGGGTGATTTACCACAACGCTGGTGCTTATAGAATGAGAGAATAAACAACTGATGGTGGCTGCGAACATCTGCCGAACAATAAAAAGGGTCACAAAGCAAGTGAGAGGGGCCCATGGGAAGGAGCTGAATTTTGAAGTGTTCTGAAGTAGCCATGCATTCAGAGTTTCTGGAAAAGCAGCAAGATGAATGAATGATGTCTAAGAATGACTTCAGAAGCATGAGCAACTGTGTCCTCACTCCACATGTGACAGAAATACACCGTGACTGCTGACATGCAGGTCTTGTTGCTGGCTTGACATGCCTAAGAATGTATCCGAGGCAGCTTGGGATGTCTCTTAAGAAAGTGATAGAGAAGAAAAGAAGTGAAGAATGTAATACTGAGAACCCCTGTGAGGGGTATAACACTATACGTGTGTTATATGAGCAAACGGTGATGGGGGGTGCAGTGCTAACTGGAATGGAGCCATCAGGGAGAGAGAGAGAGGGGAAAACAAGGGCCAGACAGATGTGAAACACAAGATTTTTGAAAAAACAGAGGAAAACGTATGTAAGCATTTACATCTGGGCGGAAGGAACTCTGAAGGACTAAGACGGGACTGAAGGGAGGCAGTAAGCTGCAAGGCTGGAAACAGGCTCACAGCACTCCAATTGCGCATAGCGAAGTGGGGGTAGGCAGCAGTTGGATGGGCTGAGTCAAAGGTTAGGTTTTGTTTGTTTGTTCAAATCACTGTGCTAAAAAAAGGAGCCAAAGATAAAGGTGCAGTCAGTGGGAGGGGGTGGCCACAAGGCCTGCTGTGCCCCTGAATTCACTTGCCAGGGCTGGCAACCCTGTGCTCCCTCTGGCAGGACCGTGTTAGAAAGTGCTCAGACTGAAGGAAGAAAACCACCCCTGTTCCCACTGACCTCCTCTTGCTTTTTTATTAGTACTTTTTGAACAACCAAGACAGAATGATAGATTTAATGCTGCTTTATACATCATTTATTCTTGCAATTTAGTCATGGCTTCTTTCACGTTATACTGCAGGGAATTAACTACATTATAAAATGAAACCTGTATCAATTATAAGTATACCACCTGTCAAACTGGTCAATGATTGCACCACGAAGGCATAAATGATAGGGTTGGAAGAGGCCTGTTTTTCAGCCCAGCATCAAGCAGGATTTTCTTCTACACTAAGGTTAAAAGCATTTTATCTGAGCTGTATCATTATATTATAAACAATAGCAACTCAGCGACTGCACAAGGAAGGTGGATTTGGACCTTACTTGCCTGCACTGCTGCATTTTTTCTCCTCTCGTCTAACCTGGGCAATCTAGTTTTACTTTTCTGTATATCCAGCCAACAACTCTTCTGTTAATCCCTATGGCATGTATGTAAACTAGTTAGCCAAAAAAAATGTCATGTTATTCAGACTTTGAGGTAACAGCAGCATGACACGGCTTTCTCTTGCGCTTGAGATTTCAGAGGGCGCTCCTCTTGAGGCCCAACTAATTGCAGGTATGCTACTTTTCAGAAATACCAATCATCCATTATTTAAATTGTTAGGGATTAATCCATAAATAATATTTAGCACGTCACTTTCTAAAAGCACCTTACAAACCCTGATGAGTAGCTGACAATCTACTAAGTCATGGCTCATGCATATATGCACAGGTCTGGCAAAGCCCTTTAGTTCTCTCATCTTCCACCCGAACAAGCCTGTGCGGTGGAGCAAAGCTCTGTTCAGCCTTTCCTGTGCAATACTCCTTGTTTTCGGTCTCTGTACAAATTAAGAGATCCTTTGGGAACTCTAGAAGAGAAAGTATGAATCTTAGGCCTCTTTAGAGATTTCATTTGTTGGCAACAGCTTTATTAGCTACATATAGCTTGTAATGATACTACAGCTTGTCAAAATGCATATTCAGAGGTCAGATTACCTAGGTAAGAGCTATTTCATGTATAGATGATAACTCAACAGGGCCAGTAGACTAAAGCATTTATTTTTCTAAACTGCACAGTATGAGACAGTGCTACAGTAGGATAAAGGTGTGTGTGTGTGTTTTGTTTCTTTTTACATCAAATAAAATAATCAGTGCAGAATGGTCATGCTTGAAACTGTTAACCAACCTGCTCTGCAACTTGGTGCTGCCCTATGTATTTCTGAAGAAAACGACTGATTACAGCTATGGACTCTATAGTAGAACAAAGCAGCACTTGATTTTTTCTTACTCATTAACTGAAGTTTACTTTATGCATTTTTTCTACAATAATTTTTGCCACCAAGTGCTCTTAACTTTTTGCATGTTGTAAGAAATTTTCCTCAAGTCTATGTGTAGATTTTTATCTAAATAAAATCCCCATTAATTTTTATGACATGTAAAAAAACTGGCTTCCATCCAGCTATCCAAGCTTTAGAAGTACTTCTATGCTAATACCTTGCCTACTTTGCTGTTTCCCCAGCGAACTTCAGATGATTAAAGTCCTTCTGAAGTTTTGAGGCAGCCAAGACTGGATGGCACAGTCTGTAACACAGTTATTCATGGCATGTTTAATTTTGTCTGTGGACTACATATCAAAAAGAAATATATGAATCCTCTGCTATTTAGGCGCTACAGTGGCTTTACAACATTCATAGTGAATTGTTAGGTATGGAACAAGAAGCACTGACCTTGTCTATAAAAACAAACTGCACTGAAAAGGGCAACTCAACACAGACTAACCATTTTTAGCGTTTCTCTGGTATTTACCCCATAAACACCTGCTTAATTTAATTTTTAATTAGTGGATTTTTCTTTGCTGTTTATCTGCTGCAGAATGAGAACTCAGAATCTCTAAATATAAGGTAAATAGTTTAGGAAAATGGGGGCAGCTCTCAGTTTCAGTTGTCACTATCCATTAAACCATACTTTGATGGAGGAAATGACTTCAGTTTGTGAGCCTGAGGAGTTCCCATACGACCAACAGAACATCCACAGTACACAGTTCAATATGCAATAAACTATCACTCCACAGCACAAAACTTTTCAAAAGACAGCATGAACATGCTTCATTTTAAGGATAGAGAGTACATACATCATTAATTGTGTGTGGTGTGAATACTGGGCACAACCCTCTGTTCAACTTACCAAAAAAAGGAGACAGCGCGGAATCCCTAACACCATCACAAAGTGAGGACCGGTCTTATTTTAATCCCTCTTCTCAACACCAAAGCCATCTCCACATTCAAACACCCAGAAACTCGTCTTCCTACCTGCTACAAGTCACCTTTGTAAAGCAGGACAAGCACTTGGGTGATTCTTAACACAATATTCTGCCTGTCCAGGATGTATCGCCTAGAAAACTGAAACATCAATGCTGTATATTCTTACCACAGGTTAAAAATAAAGCACATGCTCTTGCACAAGAGCTGTCGGTGGCAGGGAAGGGGCTCTCAAACGTCTCCATCTGATAGTCCCCTGCCAGCTTTGCTCGCTGCTGCAGCCCCAGCATTGCCTGCCGTGAATGAGAAGCCCTGCGGCTGAGCGCACCCCAGCAGCTCGCTCGGCTGCCAGCCCGGCCTCTCACTTCTGGAAAAAAAGGGCTGTAAACAGCGAAAGGGAGGGGCCTGGCGGTGCACAAACTTGTGAGTAAGTCACCGGGGGAAAAACAAGTGCAGCGTGCGGCGCGCCGTGGGGCGGCAGGCGATGTGCCCCCGGAGAAGAAGGCCGAGGCGTCTCGTCAGGCTCCCCTCATCGCAGACGGGGCGCCCGCGGGTCCCGCGGCACGGAGGAACGTGAGATGGAGCGGGAGGTAAGAGGGCCACGAGCAGCGGGCGGGAGGACTCGCCTTCCTCTCGGTTCCACCTTTCAAGTCCTGACCTTGATTCGCAGTGTGATAAAAGCGTAAACCCGGCTGAAACGAGAGGGGGAAGCGTTTGGGGCTGGCTGAGTCAGAAGGCAGCACAAACACCAGCACCGCAGCATCGGCTTCCACGACACAGCCACGCCGGGGCTGAGAAGGTGCCTGGCGCTGGAGAAGCGCTCAGTTGGGGTTTCTGGAGAGCTCCTGCCCCTGAAGCATGGCGAGGCCCTGGCCAGGCTGCGGCTGGAGGCCGGGGCTGCCTCTGTGGCAGGAGCTGGCGAGCCGTGGGCTGAGTGCCCGCACAGATGAACGCTGTGTTAGAGGGACATCAGCAGTAGGAACTTTGCCTGGCATCGTCCAGAAGTTGCTAACAAGGTCTCTTCAGAAAGTACTTTTAACAACAGGGATTTCATTTTTGCTTGTTTCTGAGGTAAGATCTGTAAGATTTCGTAACATTACTGTCGGACAAGTCTCCTACCGCTGCTGTCATTAAAATTAAACTTATTTACCTGCAGTTAGAGGAGTTGGGTAAAAAGGGGTAATTACAACAAACTGGGACACGAGACATCCCACCGCTATGTAAAATATAAATCTTAGCAGCAAAGAGTGCTGATCTCTTTCTGAGACAATACACAGGCAGGTAGTCTGTGGCTGATGTAATTCAGTCTGGAGTAATCGAAGTTACGTGCTTAAGGATAAACCTGCATAATGGAATTACGTGATTGTATCCGTGCCGGTGCTTAGTCACCTTGCGCTCACTGTAATGCATGTATTTGCAATACCTCGTTCCAGTCTGCTGCTTTGGCTGAATTGAGCCTTAGCAGTTCAGTGAGACGTAATTTTGGTCACCTTCAACTGGGCAAGGCAGCTTGTCTCTTCCTTTTTTAAAAGATTTAAAAACAACAGATTCTTCCTGAAAACGAACTGTGTTGCTTTCAGTGATAAAAAAAAGAGTATGAGGATTGAAGGGCACCATGATGATATTACAGTTTGTACACCTATGCAATACTACAGCTAGAGAACTGATTTGAGAAAACAAACAAAAGTAAGTTTTTCCACAGAGGTAAAGGAAAGCTTTGAATACATCAGAACTACATCTTGCACTACTGCCACAGAAATCCCTTACCTGAGAAAATTCAATATATGACAGTGGAATAAAAGTGTGTTTGGCCAGCTAAAATTACTGCATTTTAGCCTGGTATCTGGCATGGACTGTGATATTTAGAAAAAAAAAATACACACCAAGTAATTGCAGCAGGAAATAAAAATGGAACCTGACATGATTCTGGAACAAATCCTGTACTTCAGCTAAGTGTCAAAGGATTAGCGCTAGAGAGATGGAACCGTGGAAGATCTTATGCTTACAAAACCCATACTGTATCATTTAGGCATATGGTTCACTGAGTGTAGCATGCTGTCTAGTAACATTCATTGTAATTGCACAACGTTTATTGTGGATTTGATTAAATCTTGTTCTCTCTCTGGAAAGAATGCATTTATGTGTACTTATGCTTTTCTATACGTGCTGAAAGGAAAGAGCAAACAATGCTGCATATCTGATGATCTGAGGCTACGCTTGACATGGGAAATCACCTGCCACATAAATTCCACATTGTCCCAGAAATGTCCTGGCAGGAATAATACCCATGATTTTAAGGCTTTGCATGTTTTCAGTTGTGTTTTAGAGATTACTTATTTTTGTGCTTTGGAAAGAGACTTTTCATGATTGCTTTGAGAAGTCCACTGATTTCAGTTAAAATGTTATCTCTTTTCTGATAATAAAGCAAAGATAGCTGGACAATGACTACTGACATTAGCATACTTTTTAAAGAATTCAAGCTATTTTGAGAGGAAATGATAACTAATTCTTGCCTTTTTGGAAAGCCAGGCTGCCCCGATATTAGGTTCCCTAAACTACAGAGGTCCATTGTTTTTTCAGAACTAAATGGTTACAGAAGTCTGAATACAAACAGACTTACTAAAAAAAAAAGTCTCCACCTCAATTCCAAGTTTCCTCTAGTCTTTGTTAGCTTTATCAGTGACACAAAATATATTCATCATACTGCCTTGGATGTGCCTCTTAGGAAGCTCTCTAAGAGAGGTTATTTGTATTTACCACATAACACCATAGAGAACTCCATTCCCCATCTTACTGCTGAGATTTGTAGTTCCTCTTGTATTCTTCAGCAAATACTTTAACATAGTATTAGATACATTAAAGGCACTGTTTCATAATTTTTTAAAAAGTACTTATGTTCATATATTACACCAGTATTTCTTTTAAAGATGTACAGCTTATGGTTTACTTTTGTTGAATATCTTGTATCGACTCATCCACCACTAATTTCATTTTAAAAAATTAAAACTTTGGTACATTTACTTACTAGTCACCTGACACTTTGAGTCATATATTACTTTCTTACAGACTAACAAGATGGAAAGGCATTTCAGTCACTGACCTGAAATACATCAGTTACATGAACTGTGTGATCTTCATCTTTAAAATGTTTTCTTCGTACGACATTCCATTTCACTTACAATGTACTATTTCAATACTACTTTTACTATTTCTCTCTCCACAGGAAAGCTGGTAACCAGCAGAGAAGATACAAGAGCTAAAATCACTATGTGGAGCTGTGAAACCTTAAATAGTACCGAGAACAGTGTGGACCAGCATCTCTGCCATGACTTCCACTTTGTGCTTTCCATCTTGTCCCTACTCTACCTCATTATATGTTTCCCAATTAGCCTTTGCTACAATGGCTTGCTGGTCCTGGTTAATCTGTATAACAAAGCAACTATGACGATGCCAGACGTTTACTTTGTCAACATAGCCATTGCCGGTCTCATCATCAACACCCTGGCACCAATGTACCTTCTAGGTCTTGCCAATACAAAATGGGCCATCTGGAATTCTAACAACGAAGTTTATATCACCTTGCTTATTTTATTCAACGTCTCATCTTTAGTTACCATGTACTCTACGACGTTACTCAGTCTGGACTACTACATTGAACGCGCTCTACCTAGAACTTATATGTCAAGTGTGTACAACACCAAGCATGTCTGTGGATTCATATGGGGTGGAGCCATGCTGACAAGTTTCTCATCTCTTCTGTTCTACGTCTGCAATCACGTATCCACTAAAATAATTGAATGTTCCAAGATGCAGAACAAAGAGGCAGCAGATGCCATCATGGTCTTTATCGGGTATGTTGTACCAGCTGTCGCGGTACTCTATGCACTTATATTGATCTTGCGAATACGCAAAGAGGCTACACCACTGGATCAAGACACTGGACGATTAGATCCATCAGTGCACAGGCTTTTGATTGCCACAGTCTGTACACAGTTCACCTTATGGACACCCTATTATGTTACCCTTTTGGTAAGCACATTTACTTATGCACAAGGAAGATTTGCAGATGAAAATTACAGTCGAATATTACATTTTACCAAGATTTTATCCAAATTCTTGGCTTTCTCAAGCAGCTTTGTAATGCCTCTGCTCTACAGATACATTAACAAAAACTTTCCTAACAAACTACGACGTTTGCTTAAAAAGATACACTGTGGAAGTCAAGGGTGTTCACACGAACGCACAGTGGTACAGCAAGTTATGACATAGGTATAAAAAAACACTGGTGCTGTTACTGCAGGACGTAGTATACCAGCATACCAGCACTCAGACTGCTACTGCTGTGTGGGCACCCAAAGTCACTGATGTGACAGTCCCAACCAGGAGACTTGGAGGAGCCTTGGAGGAGCCTTCAATTAATGAAACAGTCTTAATTTTCAAATAGTTAATTATTTGCTGAGATCTTGTAAGACTCTGGCCTATGTGCTGTAATTCCTGTGACACCTAATATTTTCAGTGCACTGAACTGGTTACAAAGCGTAAGCTCTGTCTTCATCATTCTAATATTCTTGTCTGAAGAAATCGCTAAGCAGTTTATTGAAGTACTGACCGAATACACAGCACCTTGTATCTTGTAGAGGAAAAGGTATTACCTTATTTTCTGTACAAAGAATTAACAGTGCTATTCTTGATGAAGTAAATAGTATTTTTCAATGAAGATGATATAATGATCTTTACTAAAGATCATTTTATCCAATTATACATGTCCAAATAGTAAATGTTAATTATAAATTAAATTATTTAATTTCTTTCTCCGTCACTGAATTCCCTCTAAAAGATCTCTAATTTACTATTTTCAGAAATTATATTCTCACACAAACTAACCTAAGTTTTTAACATGTGCGGTAAATCTTTTTTTTTTTAGATATAACAATTAACAAAAACTTGTTTATTCTTCCAGTGCTTTGTTGGCATCCTAAGACATTTCAAGAATTCAGAAATATTTATTAACTAATTCTAGGGGAACTGAGAGATGTTTATCCCACATATTAAAATGAAGGACACAGTGGTTTACAAAGTTAAATCAAAATTCAAGTAGTAAAGAACGTCTGGCTAAGTGTTATGGTCCACATATGTTCATGTAACAAGAGTAATTGTCTTAAAAATAAATATGTTTATGATTAACATTTTGTATTTTCAAGGGATATGTTTGCAACAAATCAATTGAAATCTCTTTAATCTAGGGCATCACTGGAAGTTTGGAAACCATACAAAATCCTTCAATACTTACAAGATTTTAAAATGGGAGTGATAGGTATAAATTCCAGTCAAGATCAGCTTTTTGCTGACCTGTGAAAAATGGACTGCCTCCCAATGTGATTCTTGAATACACAGTAAAAGTATAGTTTCTGTATTTCACAATGGGGATGAAGAAATCCAATCCAGATTGCCAAATTCTACAGAGTGTATGAAATACATGAGAAATACAAACGTTGCTGCAGGAAAAAAAAACTAAAGTTACTCACAATAGCAAACTGAATTGCTGCCCCTGTAGCTGTTGCTGCGTTGTTAATAATGGACGGGGTAGAAGTTAATCTGATATTCTCCCACCAGCCTGGGGACAGCGAGGCATCTTTGTCACTGACCCTGCAATAAATCATTTCATTACTTCATCCATCACAACACAGCTTACTCCACATGACTTCAATCAACAACTGTGGCATGTTGAGCCTCTGGTATGGAAAAACCATGGAGTAGAAACAGAATTAAACCTTTTCCATTGCACAATCTTATCTCATAATTGACCCTAATTTATCAGCATGGAGACATGCTTCAGTTTTACGTGGGAAGGGGATGAGGAACAGTCTTTTCAGATCTTCCTTCTTTTCCGTGTTACCCAAGCCATTTCTTCCCACAGCCATTTTTGCTTATCTGATTCATATACAATCATCCCTTAAGTTACCAACATCCCAGTGGAAGACTCTTTAGTTTTCAAGAGCATTTCATATCTTAGTGAATCTGGTTAACCCTTAGAACCCTATACAGTAAGTCATTTATTTCGGTGGTGGTTTCTCCCTGTGAAAGCTAGCCAGCACAATTACACCACTTTACTTCATAGCTTTAGCCTGCTGATTAAAACCACGTCAAGGAAGGAAGCCTTTCCTTATCGCTGTGTCCAATTCACACACTGATTTATGCCTCTATGCCAACACAATACTGGCTTTTTTTTTTGGAAACCATTGGGTTTTTGTTTTGTTTCTTCTCTTGAGAGGTTCTAAGTATTGCGAGCTACACTCACTGTAAGCATTCAAGCACTCACTTCCACCCAAGTTCCCCAGAAACCCTTCCTTGGAACCATTGAACAAATTGGCTCTTCATCCCACCCAAGGGATCCCAGGCTCCCTCAAGCACCACGTTAAATCTCTCACGTAAAAGCTGTTAAAGAAATTCTGACCCATTACGCAGGAAGACGAATTCCAGCCGGGAGGAACTGGCTTATCTGGTGCGAGTGGAGGATCCCAGAACTGGGACCCTGCCAGGACGGAGGGGCTGAGCAGGCAGCACTAGGGGCAAGTTTAACTCATATGCTGCTTTCTTGCTTCCATTTCCCCCTTCTCCTACGACACCTTACTTTCTGTGCCTCACGGACTGTTGCATTTATTTCTGTTCCTTTCTCCCTGCACTAAATTCCTGGTTTCAGATCATGTCTCTCATCATCTTTCTTCATTTTTTTTCCTCATCTTTTTCAGTTCTCTATCTAAATGTGCTACTTTATTTAATTTTTATTTTGCTCCTCTGATGCCTTTCATGCTTGGTCCTTTACACTTGAGACTGTGCACCACTCACATTTAGCTGCTAGACTGACTCTGTCACACCCACACAAATTCCACCCAGTGATTTGACATTACAAATGCAACTGCTCAGAAAAATGGAAGCTGCTACTAGAGATGGAGAAAGAGCAAGTTTTATATAATTTACCCCTGAAACCTCAATTGTGATTTTTTTCCTAAAGATCCTTCTTTAGAAAGACCAGAGTTGAGCAGCAGAGCTGAGTATGTTTGTGTGTATCCTTGATAATACATTAAATGTGATGGCAATCGTGTAGGCAAGCAGGTTTTATATTTCAATGAACAAAACTGATACAAACTCAGATTTTTAAGAGTTAATTTGGTATATTAGTTGCCTCAAAGAAACTGTGCCATGCAACTGACTGCTACTGTAAGGAAATTCAGAACTTAATTTCAGTGCCCTCACATGGTATCTCTTCAAAAGCAATATCCCACAAAGCAAAAACTTTGCAATATTTATATAAAAACAGTACACGAGCAAGTACATTAAAATACTCAAGGAAATGCACAGTAACATAACTATAGAGGAACTTTTATGAGCAAATCTTTAACATACCAAGTTCTCAAGAACGGGTCCTTTTCCATTTCAATACCCGAAGGTTTCTGGTAACTTTGTAAATAGGGGCTTGTCTATTTTGCTTTTAATTAAATATGAATAAAATACTGTATATATGCAAGATAAAAATCAGCCTACTGATGTAAAAAGAATTTGCAAAGAATTTATTAAATTATTTCTCAAAGTGTATCGTTTAAATGTAAACCTCTGAACAGTAAGGTGTACTGTATGTTTCTGTGTGTATATACTGTACATTAGAAAGAAAGCACTACTTAAGTGCCATTATTAACAGTGTTATTTTCTCACAAAATTAAACTTAATATTTGAGATGATCTATGGCTTACAGCCCTCTTCCTGACTATCCAATTAAGTCAAATCAGTGAACTAACAAAGATGTTTGTCTCTGCTTCTGCTGAAGGTACTAACGTAGCTAGTTTAAAACAGTTTCATGTTGCTTCACCTAGCAGGGGCCCTGGCTTCCAAAGTTTCCATCTGAGAATCAAGCTGAGGTGGTCTCTGAAGGCACAATGTTCAGTTAATGAAAGAACGTGACCAACCACTAGAAAATTTCTGGTTCTACTTAAAACAAAGAGCTGTGGTCTTCCATGTTATATCAAAAAACTACAGGAATGGACTTCAGGCAAAGCTTCACAAATAAACTACTGGCTCATAAGAATAAAAAATATTAAAGCCTATGTGGTCAGTAAGAGGTGTGATTTTTGGGGGTCCTTCTTGATAGAAAGCCTGTTGTAGACAAGGTTAAACCTGTGCTGCTTCACTGAATCACAGCATCATAAGCTGCATGACTTGGATGTCAAACCAGGCATGTTAAATTATCAGATTTTCTAGGTCATAATTTTTATATCATTAATATCTAATTATGCATCGGCATGAAGTTAGCTGTGAATGAAGGTAAAATGGCACACACGCCCCAGCTTTTTTCAGCATAAAGAATCCTGCAACTCATGGGCCAGTAATTTGTGCCAGAAATACAGGGCTGGTGACTAACGCGTACGTTGGCCATGTCCTTGTCGCTTCCTCCTCTCTCTGCTGTCACAACTGAGATGCTGGAAATCAGCTCCCTGCAGAAATTGGTTCCCTGAAGAACTTAATATAAGCACCAATACGTCTGACACCCCAAAGAAAACTTAGCTCTAGGAGGGTAATATGCTCCGTCATACATTTATTACTGCACATAACCAGAGACCAGCCACCAAGGATCAGTTAGTTAACACAACATATGAAAATATTTTCATGGGCGTACTTTCAAAGTTATTAATTAGTTCCCTTTGAATTTTCTGTAAAGCATCAGATGATGACATGTAAAAGTAAACTACTTTAAATGGTTATTGGTACATTCCTTGTAGAAAAAAACAGGCCAAGGCACTACTTCTGGGTGCTGTCTCAGTGAAAAATAAATCAAAATGCTAACCGTGCAAAATGGGAGTGTGACATTTTATTGCTTAGTCAGAGACTAGTATCAGATAAGATGTCTTTACTTCCACACAAAGGCTTAAAGAGAATTTTCTATTACACTTATTGGAGAACATCTCTAAGCAGAGTAGTGACCTTCTGATGCTTCATTCCTCGGACCTTTCTGATATAACCATTACACTTAACGAGACAGGCTGTATTTAACATCTTGGTCAGTTGAGCTCCCCTTTATACAACATAGAGGGGGAGGGTTTTGAATGAGAATGCAGCTCCATGAGAAGTTCACAAGCCTACAGTTTCGAGAAGGGTGAATGAACTACGTAAATGCAAGTAACCTCAGCTGATCGGGTACAAGCAAGCAAGTCAACGGGGTTACACTAGGGCCTGCCAGACCAACACAGCATCAGAATCAGCCCTTTTCTGTCCATGCAGAGAGATTTTGGTGAAGACAACTACGGTTTGGAACAGTCACAGGAACTATCAAATAGGAAGAGAAGCCCCAAGGATACCACAAAAATATGACACCTGTACCAAAAAAGGGGAAAGAACACACATAAAAAAAAGGTTTGATGTTTTTGTGTGCGTGTGTGTGTGCTGTGGATATCTACTTAGCTGAAAACTTACTTACCAATGCTCATTAGAAACAAAAGCAGGAGAGTGGCCAGGCTGGAGACCTTCTCATGAGCTGTATACTGCAGTGGCACAGTTTGGGAAACAGAAAACAAAGGCAGAGCCTGGCTAAGTGCCACTCTCAGCTCTTCTGCTAAGTCAGGACTTCAAGAAGGACTGACTTCTGCCTAAGTTTCTGCAGCTGTAAGGTGCTCAACACACTGATGAATCTGAAACATATGCTCTAAGATTAATTTTTACAGCTTTTGGTGAGCGAAACCTTGTGTATTTCTTAACTATATCATGCAAGAGTTTTTCCAAGCGAAAGCAACCTAAATGTACAAAAACAGCTGTGCAGACTGCCATGGCAACAAATTTGAAGTGTGAAATGTTTCCTCTGTTGTATTTCCTTTAACTTTCCATCATACATCAAAACACTTGGACATATTCTGAATACATTCTCTTCCCATCAGGAGCGCAGCGGATTTATTATCTGTGTTGTCATTCTACCTTCTTCCCACCAAGTCTTTTCCTTACCTGGGAAGTCTGCGTGATTTTCTTTTATTCCTCCCTTCTAAAGAACTGGCACTTTTAAGTACATTTACAAAAATAGGCAAAGCTACTTATAATCTATAGCAGACAGTTCTTATATTGTTACAAACCATGACAGGAAAAGATTTTTTAAATAGCAGACTCTTCTCAGAGCATTTTACCAGAAGTTTTGTAAAACAAAAAAGCATTCTCTTTCCTCTTTCCAGTTACTAAGTAGTTGATGATGCATTATATGAAGACATAAATAAGCAAGAGCATAAATACTCCCAACTCAGAGGCCTGGAGAGAGGACCAACAGGAAGAGGAACAGGTTTAGAATTAGAGCCGTGCTGCAGGAAATGTACCTGTAAGGATACCCAGAGCCAACAGGAGGAGTAATTCTGCTATCAAAATACAGACAGATTCTCATCTCCGTCTGAACTAAACCTTCAAAAACATGTAATTAATTCCCTATCTTAGTGTTTTTACCACAAATCCCACTGATACCAGTAGGAGGTTTTCTACTTATCACTTGTATGTTACTAATTATAAAAAAATAAAGGTATAATTTTTGCATCTACATTTGTATATTTAAGCTAAAATTCATCTTTAAATTGATAAACTTTCCAAAACTGTTTAACTCATCTCCAAAAAACCTTTAAAAGACTTTTGATGTTAATCCTGGCATCAGGTTCTCAAAACTGTTTTAGAAACTCCATCTGGTGGTCACTAGCAGAACACTCTCGCAGCTCACAACTGCAGTAAGATCTGGAAAACCATTAAAAGGATTTAAGTTAATCATTGGAAAAAAAAAAATCCGTTCCAATTTCTGGTTAAACACAAATATGTACTAGCTGGTTTTGTCCGCAAGCACATGTCATGGCAAAATTAAGCACAGCTTCTACAACAAACGCTGCTGTGAGGATGAGGTACATGAGAGAAAATTCTGTTGCAAGAAACCTCAACAATGGTTAACTTTACTTTTGAAGCTAACAGAAGGCTTTTAACCAGACTATTAAGTCTGATTATTCACAAAAAAAAGAAATATTTATAAAAAAAAGCATATGTTTCTTGTACTTTTTGTGAAACATCTGGTACTAGTCACTGTGGTTGACAAGATGCTCGGAGATCAAAGGAAGTGCCATTCCCATTCAGCTCCAGAGCATTGTAATTCTTTCTAATTAAGTTATGGTTTCACTAGTTTGCAATGAAATAGATTTCATACATAATTAATACAGAAGTTTCTGATTTTTTTCAGGTCAGCCTATGTACAATTAAATAATCATTCTAGCACCTGCAGCGTTACGCAGAACCCAGCTCTTTTATGAAAGTTGCCATTAGGAAAAAGGTTTTTTCCATCCTTTTTTAGAGTATTATTTGGAAATAAAGCAATTTTTGAGCTCTCACGGGTGAGGTACCTAGGTGATCTACCCATAACAAGGAATAATGGAATCATTACTGTGTAGTAATAATAATAAAATACTATTTATAAAACAGCTTACATTACAAACAATGCCCAGATAAGCCAATATAAAATCACTAATGGCAAATCATGGGTGAGCAATCCTGAGGCAACAATCATGCAGCACAGAGCATGGCTTTTCAAGAATAAGAGGAAGAAATGTTGATTGACCAGCCTCTGAGGCATAGCTAATTATTAATACCACTGCTTATGTATCCACATCTCCAGCCTGTGCTTTTTTAACCCCATCCAAGCAGACAGTTCAAGCAGAGCCCACAAAATGATCAAATTTTACAAATTCACATAGACCAACTGATTCTAAAATTCATCTATAAGCAAAACTACATTAACTTTTCAAACCATCAATTCCTGCTTTTGCGTACAAGCTCCCTTGGTGTTTTGTTTTGATGTTTTTTCTGAAAGCCCCCAAATTCCATACTCCTTTAATCAAGGACACAAATTTGCTTGCTGTCAAGTAGCAAAAGACAAAACTTCCATTCAAATGAAAAGCAAAGCATTTCACAAGTACAGTTATACAGAGTGACTGTCAACTGGGCATCAATATAACAAAAGGCTTATAATAGATGCTCTAAAAAAAAGAAAAAATAGGTGATTTGTTGTTTTCTTTCCCTCTCTGGGAATCTTGAGTCACTGCATTGATACAAGACGCCCTAAGGTGCTAAAATGCCACCACAGAAGCTTCCAGCCTGCAAGCTCAGCCTTTGAATACAGCATCAAGGCACCTCTAACCACCCAAGCTCTGCGGCTAATATCCCACACCAGTTATTTTTTTGTTAGATAATTACACTAGAGGAAAAAATCAGAAGGAAATACACAGTGGTTTGTGAAAAATATCTCTGGCAATAAACATTGACTATTTCTCAATTTGAAATTCCAGTAACACGCCTGTTGCTTTTCATTAGAGAGCACTGGGAGCGGGCAGCGACAGCCACTGAGTACTCCAAAACACTCCTCTACACAGGGGGAAACTTGCCTTGATAACCCTACATCAAAAAGTACCTTACATTGGCATCTCCATAGCACTGAGCTGGAGGGATGTGCATTACTCCAGAGGTTGCTCAGACTGAAACCTCCGTGTTTCAGTGTCTCACAAGTCATTAGTGTTGGACTGTGCCTGTTACAGAACACAGGTAAGTTTCTCATCTGGCACACATACGTAAGAGAAAGGGATTCCACTTCAAATTAAACCTACCATCAAGGATCCGTATCCTGCGGAAGACATCAGTAACACAGGACAATTAAGAGAAATGCTAAATTTTTGGTCAAAAGCAAAGCAGCTCACATCTGCTTTCTTTATGAGATCACTGCCCACCCGGTACCAGACACATTCGTTTTGCCATAGGACCAATAAGTTGGGTCAAAAACCAAGCAAGACTTCTGCCAACAGCAGCACACTACAGGTAGCTCTTGGAATTGTGAATGTTATTGGCCAACCCTTAATACTGTCATAGCCAGTTTGTTTTGCAGTTTTTACAGCTAAACACTACTTTGTTTTGCCACTGCTCTCATGACTCGTGCCCTGTGATCGTTTAAGCAAACTGAACTGTTCTATTGTTTAAGAAAGGACACAGCTGATTTTACAACAGCAATATCTTGCTTTTCTTTAGTAATGCATCAACTGTGAAAACAACTGCACAGTGAGCTGCGGCTAAAACACTCTGTTGTTAAGATGCCTATCAGTGTAGTCTAAAAGGAATAAAGAATATGGACCTGGCAAACCTTGATTTTCTAAACTCTGTTTCTGTTACAGCTTTCCTTTTATCTCATCAGCTTGGAAGAATGTATTTCTCAGCAGTCCTCCACCAGTAAAACGCGGGTTTTTTCTGAATCTATGCACACATCCTGAAATTTTAATGTGCTACTTGCTCCCAATTCAAAGTACAATAAGCATTCTTCTCTCTAAATAAACCTGAGTAATAACACTTACTACAGAATAATGTTTGTAAATGTGAACATAATTTTCAAGATAGAAGCTCTCTCTTCATTATTTTTTTTTAAGATGGGAGGTGTAAGAAATAACTTTCCTGTTTTTGTTTTTCTGATTCTATTTTCTTTTCTTTCTTGCTAGAGGACAACCTCACTCTGAGCTTCTCTTTTACTACAGTGAGCCTCGTCAGAAAAGCAGTTACTGAAAAACAGGAAATGCAGTCTTAACACTGATGTGCTAAGGCTTATCTTCACTTGAGTTATTTCTTGTTCACTGACTGCTAATTAACTCTGAATAATTTAAACCTTTATGAAGGGTAGTTTGAATAATCCTGAAAATTTTGGTGCAGATGTTGGTTCTCCTGTATTTTACTAATAACCCCAAAATGTGCAGTAAAATATCCTTATGTACACCCACCCAGTGCAACCCGCAAAAGTACAAACCCCAGCTGATCGCTGGTGGTCCTCAGCCAAAAATTGAGCCAAGCAGAGGAGATCAATCCAGGAGGAGATTGGAAAGGAGATCAAGTGCCCATCCAGAGCACTTCAGTGGAAAGCAGCAACAAAGTGATGCCAAAGCTGCTCAGCATAAGCACACGATTCATTCTAGATCCTAAAAAGTCAGTTTAGTACCCTCCAGACGAGGACCAAATACTTTCTGAAATTTTCTTGCAATTTCCAGAACAATAAGTTGGTTGTTTACATAGTTCAGTGTGTTCTCCACACAGCCAAGTCCTAGAAAGAATAAGGTGACATTTCATATTTGCATCTTTCATGAAAAATCAACAGTAAAAAAATATTTGCCTGACTTGCATGCTTAGTGCATTTTTTCTTTGTCCTTGTTAACTGTATAAAGCTGATAGCAACAAAAGGAACCAGGATTTGGGTACGCCTTAAACCCAAATGCCATATACCCAACAGGTACACCACACAGCCAGCTTCAGGCTTTTCAGTAGCAATTTGGAAGAACTACTTTTTATTTGTTTTATTTAACAACCCCCTCAGTGTAACAAACAACTATGCTAAAATGATCAAAACGAAAACCAACATGGGAGTCGGGGTTTTCTGATAACACTTGTAACCTCTTTGGAAACCACGTTTCACAGAGCCCCACTGAAGAGCTGTTTTGGAAACTTGAACTTTTTAGCTGAAAGCTAAAACATCTCTGGGCCACTGCTGCAACCCGGGACCTGCCACGCACTTGTTTCTCTAGTTCCCAAGAAGTGTTTGGAGCAGTAATGCCAGCCTTTGGGCAGAAATGTAGACCTAGTGCTGACATATTTTCTCCAGGCAACGTGCAATGCTGGTATCTGAAAACTAGACTCAAGTACATTTGTTTAATTTTATTTCATTGAAGCATTTGGTCTCTTTTCATGTTTATCAATAAAGCTTATTAAAATGCAACAGGTAAAACACCTTGAAGACAGAAAGCACTGATCACAATTAAAAGATGACAAGAAGAAAGTGCTTTCCCATGGTTGTGCTTGTACGAGAAAGAACGATGCAGCCGCTGCTTTCCAAATGCACTTGTATCTGAGGTGTCAAGGCTGCATGCACTTGTATCTGAGGTTTTAAGAACACTTTTGAAAAGTCACTAATAAGATTGATGCTGTGCCAGACCCAAAACATACTACAGATGCAAAATACTGGCTTTTAACACCTCATGGTCATTGCAGAGCATCTGGAAAATTAATTTGTTGCATGTGTACAATACTGGGAGTGTTCCAAGAGCCAGAACCCATGGAAAAATAGAAATCACCTTAATTTTAATACGGAATCTTAATTCTGACATGGAGTACTTCTGTGTTAAGTCTTTGTCTCATTTAGTAAGGGTTTTGCTCGGTGTTTATTCAACTAGCTTTTCCTTTCTAGACGTCTCGTACTTACAACAGCACAGTTAAAAAAACACCACGTAATTGCAAAGGCTGGGCAGCATGCATAGGATTCCTTCGTGAAGAGGCAAAAAACCACTGGATGGCCTCACATACTTAGAAATGGCTGGGACAAACACTACTTTTCTGTTCTAAAACTTCTCACTGCAGAGGATAACTTGAACTTTAGAGTCACATGATGAAGCCATAGGTTTGCTAAGCATGCAACGTGTATGGTTTGAATGACTTAAGCCCAGTTCCTGTTTCCTTTGCAGAACTGTGTGTTTTTGTAGTCAGCCAGCGCCTGGACTTTTCACCGTTATTTACAGCAGCTGAAGGAGTGATTGTAATACATACATGCTGCTTTCTGCATAAATAAAAAGGGCTGTATCCTCCGAACAGTAATTATATTTCGTCTGTCTTTACATAGAGTCTCAGTCAACTGTATCTGGGGAACACGTTTTTAAAAAGGTAAGTGCTTTATTTTACTTTGAATATGCAATGCTTTATTCATCACGAGAGGACCAAATTGTGATGCTACGGCTGTCATTTAAAGTTGTTAGTATTTGCTTCTTTAGCGAGATTGGAACCACACAATATAAAATGCTGTCTCTGGGAAACAGCCTCATAAAGCTGAGCATTAAATAGAGTAAATTTAATGACTGCTTTTGGGTAAATACAGAACTCCCACTGAACTGACAGCAGCTAGATGATAAAATACTATTCAGTGGTCTGGACCAGAGACTCCGATTGCCTAAGAGTAGTTGCTTAAAGGACGGACATTTTTGGATAATCCCGGCCACACTGCGAGAATTCCATAGGACAGGAAACACGTCAGCAATGCTACTTTGAAGATTACGTTCGGTTATTGCTGACTCACTTATATTCTGGGAAAGTAAAAATAGCAGCTTTCATTTTCTCAGAAACTGATCGTTTTCAGAAGCTGAGATTAGGATTTCTTGAGTCCTGAACCTCAAATACTTTCCAAAGTGTAGGAATTTTGTCACTGTGACATCACAAGAAAAATAAATATAATATTTTAGACTTCAATCTTTCATATAGTGCAACTCCCCCCCCCAGCTTGTCAGACCTAGGAAGGACAAATCCGTGTGTGTATTAGTCCTCCACCTACCAAATTGCTGCATTGTTTTCACGGGGTGATGAAGCCCATGCCCACCAAGAGCCAAGTTTCACAAGAAGTATTACATATGTTGCTTTATTGGTGTATGAAATAATTTTTTCCTTCTAAAGGCTGGTGGTAGAACACAGAGAGGCTGCCCTGCCAAGCTTTTTATAGAGGAAGAGTTTGGGTTGTCAGGCAGAAACTTCCTGTTTTAGAAACACTTATTTCTAGACTTTAAATCATCGAGTTTCCTTGAAACCAAGCCCTCCATTTGCAAGAATTAACCATGAAATAGATGGGGTGGTGTGGATGGGTGTGTGCAACAAAACAATGAAACCTCAGACTAGATCCTCACAACGCTGAGAAGTCGACTTTTCACAACTTGATATTTTTGAGCTGCCTTCTGAAGGCTGTGCTCATTTGCTCAGCTCCATCTGTTGGAAGTGAAGGAGAATGTACGAGCTGTAGTTCAGAAAGTGAAAATCAAATGCATCCACGTCAACAACAGCTGACACAAAGGCAGATCAGTCATTAGTGGGGAAACTGTGCCAGGGAGAGGGAAAACCCAAAGAGTAACCGGTGAGGCCACGTGGAGTTAGGGAAGGATTAACAACATGTAAATTACTATCCATTAAAACAATTAAATTTAAAATGTGGGGGAGCAGAAGTGAAGAAGGGATAACGGGCTTTTGGAGTAAGATAATACAGGAAAAGATGATGCAAACAGCGTAGTGCGGATTTCCCCCACTAATTAACCTGAGGAGAACCAGGAAAAAAAACAAGTTCTGCCACAGTTTCCGTACATGACAGCTTTGACATGCTGGTTTGATGTTAGTCTCAGTGACTGATGAGTGAATAAACACCGTGATAAACACTTTTTTTCACTGCAAGCAAGCATTATGGACATACTGACCCAACACCGCAAAGATGCCAGCAGCTTGGTGCTTTGGTACGACTTTGTTAATGTAGATAAACCTAAAGCGATATTCTGGAAGTTCCCTTTAAAACACTGCACCTATTATTTTTTTTTCTATCAAAATTTTAATACTTACATTGTTTATAAATATACACACATCATTGCAGTGTTATTCTCCCCCAGGTGAATGTTTACTTCTAAATTGAATGGATTACTTTGGTTTAGTTTAACCTGCCCCCCAATGAGCTGCAACTACAGAAACATGCTGTCTGAAGTTTATTTGTCCTTACTTTGTCTTAAACACCCAAAAAGTAGCTAAATAAAATAAAAAATACCTTGCTTCCATCAAAAATGAAGCCAGTATCAGTACCAAGGCCAGATCCTGAACAAATTGAAACAAAAGTTGGCATCTTGTTTTTCTTGTAATTTGATGCAAGGCCCCATGATTTCCTGTGAAACCTAAAACCGCTTCCTTTGTCTCCTTTGCAATTATGCCACTCTAAAAGTTGAATGATACTGACTGAGCACGGTCTGAGATCCTGTGCTGAGTGTACTGAGTTGGCCCATGGGGTGAGAGCTGTTGAGAAGATAATGGAAACCTCCACAGGGCCAGGACTAAACGGAAACGTTCAGCTCTGCAAAAGGGTTAATGGGCCTAGAAAGTAACCCTGGAGCCAATCTTTGAGAAGCGCTTCTCAAAATGTAAATATGCTTTAACCTCCTGAAACCACTGTGTGGGCTGCTGACCTCTGCTAGCAGTGAGAAGCTCGCTGCAGGTGCTCAGGAGGTGCCACATCCTCTGCAAAGCCGAGAAGCGCACTAGGCCTCAGATCTCTTCCAACAGAAGGTTAAACTTCAACTTACACTGTTTGCTTCACTCACGAGATTTCTGTTCAGCATTTAAGAGATGAATTGTAGAAGCTGGAAGGTCACAGTCTTTAGATTTCCAGGAATTAAAGAGAAATCAGAGCAGCAGTGGAGGCCAGGAGAAGCAGGCCTAGCTGCAGCTGACCGAGTAGCACAGTCGACCACTTTTATGCATATCGGCATAAAAAGCATAGCCACAAGCCAAAGGGGAGTAAGACAGCATTACAGCTACTTGATTAACAAGACATTTTCTGAATGTTTTCCCCAGCACTTCAGTATTTCATGGTTCACCAAACAAAATCTTTGCATCTAACTCTACACGGACACAATCCAAATCTTTCTGAACTTCTTAAACTACCACCTAAAATTAAGTGTAATTCAGACTAGTCAGTTTTATTTCAAAAAGAGATACTCTGGAATTAAAATTTTGAAAGGGGAAATCACCAGCACAAGGGAACACCGAGGAGCCAATCAACTGACTAGATTTGTGAGGTTTTGTGGTTTGTTGTGGTTTTTTTTTTTTTTTTTTTTTAAGTCGTCCTCTCTCTTCAGTTTGAGCATGTTAATACAAACACGATGCTTTCTTAGTGGCCCATAGTGAAAATAACCTCAACAGGAACAAAAGCTCTAACGCAAGTATTTAAGATACATTTCCTCAACTAACAAGCCATACGTCCTCCCCAAACCTAGCATCTTTGAGAAGATTTTCACCCCATTTTTCTCAAGATTATTTGTATTTAACAATCTATTTTTAAAGTTCAAACCTATACTGACTCTAATTATTAGTGTTTGCTTCAGAGACTTGTACTAGTTTGGCCTACCGATGCTTTCCTACTTGGTGCACCCAAGCGGAGAGTTCAGACCGCAGCCAGGCTCTGCCCAGCCAACTTTTCCCTTGCTGTGAGCAGACCTGTAACAAAACTTCTCTGTGATCATCAGTGCTTCTTCCTACAGTGGAACCTCCCCAGAAATAGCCTCCTCTGGAAAGGAAAAACTCTGTCCTTAAAAAGGGAAAAAGAACGCTGCTAAATCAAAACAACCCCGTGGTTTTATGTGAATGAAATAATTATATGAGACTATATATATACACTTAATCAAAGTCACTTTGATAAGTCAGCTTTTCTAATTAAAACCAGTATTAGAATTCCAATTTTGAGGAGAGATTAGAAATATGAAGTAGTGTCAGAGGTAACTGCCATAAATGAACTGTCAAGCAGTATTAAGACCCCGACTTATCTATAATGAACACTGCTTAAAAACATTCGTGTATCTCTATGAACTTTTACCAATTTAAAGTTACTTCCACATTAAGAGTTAACATCACTGGAATCCCTTTATGGAAAAGTGCATTATGTACAACCAAGTATATAATTCTTGTTATTAACGTGACACAATAGAAACTCCTATAAGGAGAACTCCAGTCCTCTCTGCCAGATTCACTTTCTACACACAGTGCTTGTACAGACCAGCTTTGCATGCAACAGAACAAAGTAAAAGCACTCAACTTTAACACAAAATTCAAATCCTTCCAAATATAGCACTTGTTTCTTTTCTCCCAGAAAACAATATTCTACACTGTAAAAGTGTGCATGTGTGATTTTTTTCAGTACTAAGGAACGTGCTTAATCAGATACTCAAAACTCCTTAGGAATAGTCAGTTCACTACGTCATGTTTAAAAATATTTCTCCTTTATAACTGAAAAAAATAATAATAATAAAAAAACATTATTTTCTGAATCCACCAGTACAAGCTGCATGGAAATTTCTTATAGAAAGCGTGTCAATCGTGCATGTAGGTGGTATAGGAAATTTATATACACATATTTATTACACTTAGTTTTTGTTGAGTATACATAATGTTTTCCTGCAAGGCTTTTTGTCTTAAAAAGGGATCCTCCAAACATTTATGTGGTAGCAGAATTATTATATCAATGTATCTTTGAGTCATTACAGCTAGGAGTGTACCCCTGTTACTCTTTAAATTCCCTATTTTCAGGCATTTATAACTCAGTTCTAAAAAATGTGCCTTGCCAAAACTTTATCAAGAGGCTTATAATGCACCAGCAATCATTTTCTCAAATTGGAGTGTGCAGAAAATATTTTTCTGCAGTTTTATGCAACAGCTCCATCTAAAATGATAGCATTATTAATGCATAGAGACATTTCTGTATGAAAGCACTGTTACTTCATCACAGTCCTTAAACATCCACATTAATTTTACATGGGCTGCTCAGTACAACAGACTGCAGTTGTGAAAGGCTTTTTTTTTTTTTTTCCTGTAACAGAAAGGAAACAAAACTAAAACTGAGTAAGGCTGTAGGGCTGGCCCCATTTGCACAGAGCTAACCCAAGTCCTGTCTGCGCTGAATGGGGATGATGGGGAGGGTGGTGGTGAGGGCAGGAGCCAGATGGAAAACTAACTGCCAGATTTCTCTGGCTAGAAATGCCATGCATGTTGAGATGAACCTAAGGATCTGGTTTCACCCCCCTCAAAAAAAGCACTGCATTTATTCTGAATAAACCCTCCTGACCACACAAGGTATTTGACGCAACAAATCAGAGACAACACAAGCTGTACTTTAAAACCTGTTTCTCCTTCCTTTCCATTTCAGTTCCAACTCGGTTACACGGAGGCAAGCAGTGGACAGCAGGAGGGATGGCTTCTCAAAACATGACGTGGCTCAGCTACCCGAGCAAGAACTTTGCTTCCACCTCCCCAGAAGAAATCGAAGCGTTCATAGCATCTCAGAACATCATTTCCAGACTCATGCACTGCTACATCGCCTTTTTTGTGCCCACGGGATTAACAGCTGGCATATGCATTTTGATTGTTTTCATAAAGAATTATTTACAACACAAAAGCATGGAACAATTAGACTTACTGCTTCTGCACTTCACCATCAGCAATATCATAATGATTTTTTTATCACTTACGGTCATTCCTAGACCTGACTACTTAAAAGCAACCCGCCTTGCATGTAGCGTCCTGTCCTTTTTTTTCAACTTCAGTTATTTCAATTCTCAGTATGTTCTGCTTTTCATACTTCTCATACTATTACTCAAGAGATTTCTGCCAATGACTGCTCTCTGCAAAGCAACCCAAAATCCCGTATCGTGTGTAGCATTCGTACTTATATACGCCTTCTGTTTGTCACTGACCGAAGCAGTACTGGTTGGCACGGATAACTACCACGTGGAAACAGAGTGCCAGTCTGATCCATTATTTGCACGGCCTGAGTATGAGATCATTAAATTCACCTTTGGATTTGGAATCCCAGCATTTCTTCAGATACTCTCCTTTATCGTCCTTTTTGCTAAAAAAGCACCTGCTGAAGCTGAAGACTTATGGCAGCACATTCGTACGTACACCGCTGTGTTCATTATAAGCATAACAATATTTATATGCCATCTATTTTATAACGTTATGATTCTCTTCAGGACAACATTAAAATTACAGAAGAGCATTGGAACTCCAACGAATGAGCTCATGATGAATATTGCAGAAATAGTATTGTTCTCCGAGAGCTGTGCTACTTTGGTATTTATACTTTGTTTTCACAAACCATGTAAGGAGAGAATACTTCAAGTCATACACAACTGCCGAAGGAGAAATACCACCCACAATCACCTTGAAATACCAGTAGCCTACAACCCCTGAAAGAACATCTCAGTAATAGTTGCTGTTCTAAGAACTGTCAATCTACTTTTTTTCCTTCTTCTTCATGAAGGAAAACTGTGTCCTTCTTTAGACCCTGAACTTGAACTATCTTATAGCTAGCAGCATCACAGGAAAAATATCTTCAGCCTAGCATTTGCAGTTATCTCTGAGAAGGCATGTAGGGATAGTTGTGGGGTTTTTTGTCCATAAATGTTTTTTAATCTCCTATATTCTGCGAGTGTTACTTCAAAGGTGAACAGAAGGAAAAGTACTGTTGCCATACAAGTCTGCTTTTGTAATAGCACTGATGCCTTGATAAAGATGCAAACAAAAACATAACCAAAGGCAACTTTGAACAAAGGTAAAAATCTGCAGCCAAAACATTTTCTCAGGTGTGCTTCCTCCTTGGACTGGGATTTCTTGCCCTACAAACTAATCTTATTTTTTAACGCCGGTTAGTTCCAGTAGCAACACCAGGGAAGTATGGTTTGAGCCCATTATAATCCTGAAATAGTTTGCGATACTGTAAATATCACTGCTTGCTTGGGATATATACACATCCATACACAAGATCGAGCATTCCTTCATTTTTTCCATTTTCCTCTTCTATGTTTGTTGAAACCCTGAAGGTTTTTATCTGAATTATTGTGCCAAAAAACCCCACGCTCAAATTAATGGAAACTGCTAGTCCATAAAGAAAAGCTTCGGGTCTTTTCTGAGGCACTGAACTGGAAAGATCGACAGGATGGCTAATTAAAACTTTGTGCAAGAATGAAAGCTTTTTGTTGAAGTATGCTCAGCTTCAACTTTGCATAAAGACTTTAAGCAATTATTGATTTAAGCCACTCTTGATGAGTTCATTCAGAGGTGTAAGGTCCCATGCCTTGAAGAGTCACATTCAATAATATCCTAACTAAAAAATGAGAAAAGCCAGGCCCAGAACAGCAGAACTGCTTTTAAAAAGGCAAACAAAACCAGAACCCCAGATCTAGACACAAATCAAGGCTCTGATGGAGACAGGATAGGAACATTATACATCTACATGAGAATTTACAGGTCAGTGGTGCAAAGTGGTGAAAAAAAATCCAAATCAGAGAATGAAACAGCTGCTGCAGTTTTGGAATTCAGATGTAGCCCTCCATATGTAGTCGCCAGTGCAGGCTGAGACTTAGGTGCAAAGTTTTAAATGGTGGCTTTGAGCATGTTGTTTGTGACACAAATTGGCCAGGAGCCACCTTAGATATTTGGCTTCAGTTTCAGCTTTTCCTTTCATGGAGGAGAGAACAGAAATGACAGGGAAGGCACAAAATTGTGCTAGATCTTGGATACAGATGTAGACTTGGATTGCAAGTCTTAAAAAAAAAAAAAGCACAGTGATGTATTGAGCAAGGCTCAAGGGACCTGAAGGTGTTTTTTTGGTGATTTTTTTTCTAAAGAAAAAAAACACTGGTGCTTAAAATGCATACCTTTGTATAGCATTCAAGAGTACAAGAATATACTTGATTAAGCACGTCACGTGGATGCTAAAGGAAATGAGAGATTTTATAGCAATTGTGTGCTTTGGAAAGCCTTCTTGATGGGGTCCAGATTTGTGTGCAGTTGGTGCAAATTGGCATGGGTTGTCTGAGATAAGAGACCAGTGGGCCATGGTCTACAAAGAGGAACACCTTCTGTAAAACAGCCAGGTGGGTAAATGGAAGACTAAAGGACATTTTACCCCATAATGATAAGGTATATATATGGAATTAGTTTTAGATATTCAAGTCCAGAAATTTATAGATGGTGACTATCACAGGAAAACAGAGGGCAATAGTCTCACTATGACCATAAGGACCAGTGTTTCTGCAAGATGTACGTATCAACTGGTGAAATGTCTGCACTGCATTGTCAGTCTGTTTTCCTGTTCAATTTTGTTCTGCTGCCAGCACAAACAGATGGATAACTAAGGAACACTCCGTATTAGACCATTATTAGAACCTGGTTGAAAAGGAAATGCGTAGATCAGAACCATCTCTTCAAGAGTCAACTTCATAGATGTGCAAGGACTTCTCAGCTGACATCAGAGGTTTCATTTCTCACCTGAGAAGAGGGAGATGAAACAACATGGACCAAACACCAGCCCTGCCAAAAGAAGTTTGAAGAGAGGAGTTGTTAGAGCAGCACGTCAGCAAAGAAAGCCCACAGACTGAGTGACAGAGCATGTCAAAAGATGTAAGCTGATGGAAAATATCAGTTCATGGCTAAGTAGGCTATTTTCTAGCATGTGAATTATGCACAAAGGATTCTACTTTATTCAATGCTTCCATATATTTTATATTTGAGGATGAAAGAATAAATATCGTATTGTTTCCGAGTCCTGAGTTACTGTTAAAGGTGCCTGAAAGTGAAGTTTGAAAATAAGTATGACCTTGTTAGATAACATTGGCTGGGACCTGGAAACTGGTCTAACAGTGAGCAAATCCCAACAATGCACCTGTAGGAGCCTGAAGGTTCAGCACGGGCAGCACACATGATGAAACTCCAGTACGGTATAGAGCTGAACCAGAACCATACCAAAGGTCTCAGAGAAATGAAAGCTGTAGGGACCTACTGTCAGATCTAAGGCTTGGGAATGATGATGTCTTGTCAATGAATTATGCTGTAAATCTGTGAGTGATGCTGGGTGTAGCTTCTTGCACAATGTGAACCAATGCTCTCTGGTCTCTTTCCTATCCACAGCTCCTGTCATGGAGACAAACAGAGTCCTTTCTGGATGGTGGGTTATAGTGTCATAAAAAAATCTCTTCATACAATGAAAAGACCAACTTAATAGGAGAAAACAAAGGTAATCAGGAGAGAAGAGGTGGACAAGTGTAACAATAATCCACACTGTTATGAATACCTGATTTTACAAACATTTCTGTATTGCTATAATTCTCGATAAACTTACACAATTCCCATTAAAATTCAGGACAATGAACACGTAGTCCTAGAGAAGACTGACTTTGATTCAGCAAGAATACGAGGGCAGACACCTCTACATGCAATAGGAAAGGAACAGAAGGAATCCCAAAAAAGCTTTATAAAATGGTCAAATTTGAAGTAGAAGAGCAGCTTTGAGTAAGATTAAAAGTAATTATTTTTAAATTATTAGTAAGTTGAAATGTATTTTCTAAGAACAAAATAAGATCTGACCACTCAAATTTCTTTCTATCTATACCAGCAACAACTTTGTTGACCAATTTCTTCCAGGCTTCACCTAGCTTTGACCAGTACGTTCTGGAAGAAATAGAGCATGTGATTTTTACAGGCATGCTGTCAAAATTAACTAATGCCATATACCGGAAAATTCAAATAAGAGTATTTTATTTCTGTACCAGTAACATTTGTATCTAAGATGGGCTCATATGAAAAAAAAACACCTTCCGTTCAGAAAAATAAGAGAAATGAGCAGACTGCTGAAATTTAAGCACTGAATTTCTGAATTGGTAATGAGTTTTGGAAAGGAACATGTAGAGACTAAAGACTCATCTTTGCTGAACCAGCTGGCTCAAATCTGATCTGATCCCATTGCAAAACAACATCTGATCTGAAGAGAGACTGGATTTGCACTTGAATCATAACTTTATCTGCTATACCCCTATGCGTGTTATTAAGTCTAGCCTCAGAAGCATTCAAATTTCAAACTTACAGACCTGGAAAGGGCTGCAGCATTATTTAGCTTGATTTTGGGGTAGTTACAGATTTGGAGTAGAGTTAAAACTCAAGAAAATTATCCAAAACAAATACAGTATACAATATTTATACTATATATGTTGCACAACAAATTGATTCACTAAATAACTGTTATGAAATAGTATGTTTTGCTTCCTTGGCACTGTAATTCTTATTCTCTCATCTTGGAGCAGCTAGTGGCAACTGCAGCGACTCTTTCATCTGGGCAACTAGAGAGGTGAAGTGTCCAGCAAGGGACTGCCAGACTCAACTACCGGAGTCAGAAAGGATTGCTGCTTTCTCAGTTTTATTTATCACATCTGGACAGAGACTGAAGACCTATGATGAAAGTCCTTCACTTTACAATGCTTTGTGGTCCAATTTCATAAAATTTGAGTGCCTCTCCCACCCCCAAAGCATTTTGCAATATACACTTTAAGAGAAATAAGAAGGTTTTACCAGAATAGTTTGAATGGGTACAGGTGGTGTCCCTGCAAAGAAAAGGCTGAACTTTTAAAAATTATTTTTAGTAAGAAAAACACATTCTCAGAATTACTGGCAACGGAAAAGACAAAAAAAAATACACCCTATCCAAGGTTTTCTGCAGGCATAGAACACAATTACTTGTTCCAACTCAAGCTAAGCTTGATTATTTGTAAGAAAGGGGGAGTTACTGAGAGTGGCTGGGATAAAATACCAGAGTGCTCTAGAAGAGGGTAACAGGCCCAGGCAGAAGACGTCATTCAGTAGCTGCAAAAGGTCAGAGCTGGTATCCATGCTAGCAGAAAGATGAGAGAGATTTTCGGAGGTGGAGATCAATCCACTTGTACAACTTCAAGAACATTACAACTGCATCCATATGTCCTCTGGAGATAATTTCAGCAGAAATACTGATACCGATCTTATTTCTTCTGCACACGGTTGCCTTACACTGTAAAGCTCTCCAACATAATTTTAAATCATACCTCTTTCCTCTTTGATGCTATACAGTACCTTACTTTTTTTCCAGCTTTCTACATCCCGGCTCTGATCTAGTCTCTCCTGGAATCAACAGTTTCAGTCCAATTCGTAGCTCTTCCACACCTCTGGCAGAATTTAACACCTCTTAAATCCTACAGGCCTAATCCTACTTACTTACCACCCTGCTGGAGGGCTACCGTGTAACCAGGGTCAAGAGGTATGATGTGCTGGACATCTGACGTTGTTCTTCCTACGCTCACCTCCTTCCTTCTTCCTCAGCTGTCCTGCTCTTTTTTCAACACAGCAGTCAGCCCATATGTTGAAGATTGCTAAATTATGTAGAGTATCTTACATGATACCCCATTTTAAGCCTTTTGGTACACCTATGTACATCTCTGCTGATTACACTACTGTTCCTTAAACACCCTATAGTGTTTATTGAGGCATATAGTGTTGGGGAAGTTGACCACTACAGATTTAAAATTTAACTGCTAGGAAAAAAAAATAAATTAAATGCTGGATTATTGCATTCTGACGTGATATGAAGGCTATCACACCAGTTGCTTTCATTGCATGTTCTCAGCAACAATCAAGATAAGGTACGACAAGGCGGAACTGTAATATTTAATGCTGTCACAACTGCAGCTAAAGATGGATCATGAAGGCATTCATTATGAAGTCCCACAGAATATCAGCAAATGACGGGAAGAAAAGAGTACAATGTTCAGCAGCTGCTAAAATTTGTTTTCAGTATTTTATGACCCTTTTCAATATGGAAGTGGTGAACAGTGAGATTAAGATGGATTAATCAGTAACAATAACTTGCCTGCATAAACAAGAACCTGGAGATGTTGTCATCTGTTTTAGGAAACAAAATTCAGAGAATTCACATGATCGTCTCATAAAATATTTAGTGAAATACACAACTCACTAATTACCATATAGTAATAGTAGATTTGGTCTCATATTATGCTTCATAGTTCTATTAGCGGGAAAAACAGCTACTTTTGGGCTCTTTCAAATGAAAATTCCCTTCCCATTCTTGAAGTACGGCAAAATGACACATTTCTTGTCATGAATTCAAACCAGAAAATTAGCACTCATAACAGAATTATACATTTTCATAGCAAACCAGCCACTACTCACAGCTCGAAAAACAAGGACAGACAGAGCAGCTGATTACCAAATCCACCCCCCCGTAATTACAAGCAACTAACACCCAGAAGCCAATATTACACATAAAGAAAAATAAAAATCCTTCTGGCCCTTACAAGATCAGTGAAAGCTCTGAAGGGCAGAATTAAGTAGAGCAAAACCACATGATCAACAAACAACAATAAAGACTCTTTATATCTCTCTTCTTATAGAAGATAAATTCAAAAGACAGAAAAAAATAGACCATCAAAGCTGGTATCACAAGATTTTCTAACATTACAGTTATTGCAGTCCCATAACCCGATGATGTTTGTACACTTCTCAAACCAAAACACTTGAGGCCCTCTGTCTTTGTTATCCTGTTTAGAAAGACTCCACAAGGCCATCCACTGACACTCCAAGTCTATGCAGGAAATCCTTACCCAGCACAGATTTGCACAAACTTTCTTTTAAGTTAGTAAGATTTACTCCCAAACTACTCATGAAGCATCATCGTGTCCAAACACCTTCAGAAGCACTTTCAGCAACACTGTCAAAACTCCTGTGGACAACACATTGCAAGAAAACCAGCAAATAAAGCATGGCTCAATGGCACCAGGAGGCAAAGTACCCTCTTTTCCCACAGCCACTTGGGTGAGAACTTTTTCTTCGCTCTTCTATGGATGAGATCTTTTGTAACCTAAAGTGTTTGATCATGGTAACAGATTTAATGCATCCATTATAAGGGCACACTAGTTGTTTACTCCACACTGCCGAAACTGTAACATCGGTTTCCTGAAATCTGAATTGCTGAGATCCCATTCATCTTTTTCCAGTAGCAGAATACTGCACTGAAGCACAGCATTAATGGCACTTAACATTAAGCTACCAGATAAATATAATCATAAAAAATAAATTCAGGCATACAAAATATTGCTCTTTCGTGAGAGAAATGAATTTGCTTTCCATTTTAAGAACTCTAGCCACCAGTAGGTGGTGTTTCGGGAAATGTCAAGCACTTCTTTTCCCCTACAGATGAAATACACAACTCCACCTGCAACACTGGTGGCTTTATGCAAGACTGAGGCTCCACATTCTCTGCAAAATAAGCTTCTTTTATCCATGTGACTTGGAACTGAACAATCCTAAGAAGCGACAAAGATGTGTACCTGAAAATTTAAATACGAACAGGCAAATGGGATCACCTTCAAGGTAGGAAAACCGAGATTTATACTGTCGGTTCAGCAAATGACCCTTCTCAGCTCCCAGATCTCTCTTAATCTAATATTTCTCTTTAGACTATCCAGGGGCTTTTAAAAATACCTTGCCTATCAGTAATTGCTGCTTTATAAGCATATAAAACATGCTTCGTTGTGATTTGAAAATAAATCTCTTAATTATTGATCAGCTGAGCTGCAGGTTTGAATGGCCGGTGTAACTTGAAAAAACACTGAAGGCAGACAGGGGGTAAAATGAACATCAGGCAAAATAAAATTGACAGATCCGAGACAAAAGCCATTTGACTGGTTCTAGTAAAAAAGCAGCCAGCAGAAACAGGGTTAATCCCAGCCTGATGAGGCTGTTCAGCAGCACTTCGACTGAACACAAATTAGAACAACCCTGGGAATCTATAAAGCTTGTTTTATTGCCAAGGGCATGCAGAAAGATCTGCATTTTGCTGTTGTAAACTATCCTTTATTTAAGGCGTTTTAAAACAGAAGAGACTTTTATATGATACATTTTTTTTTTACTACCAAATTGTCAACAGGTGGCATTCACTGCAGCTCTGCACACCTAAAGGCAAGTTTTCCCTGCCACGGCCGGCCAAGTTGACACATGCATTAAGCGTGAAGCTGAGCAAGAACCAGCCTTCTGCTGTCCGGAGGAAAATCAGCTCTGGAAAAATGGAATTAAGGTAAATTGGAGTGTTTAGTGCGTGGTTACCTGTAATTTTGCAATTGTTTGGTGGGCTTTCAGTTGGAACTAAAACCTAACCACAGACCTGCCTTTTAAAATCAATTGCTCAGATTCGTAATTAACCTTTGTTGTATTTAAAGCATTTTACTGCCTTCCTGAAAAATCAAAGGATGTTACGTAAAAGGCAGGGGTTCATGTCTGGCTGATAGCTGCCTCAAGCACCAAACCTTCAAATTCATGTCACTTCATACGGATATTTTAGCATAAAGATTCACCTCATGAAAATACTTCCAAACATAGGCATAAGTGCTCTGTAAGTGTTGCTATTGCACTATGAAATAAAAGCTTTGGGACTACACAGATTTCTTTTAAGTAGCTATTTCTGACAACTTGAACACGTTTCAGCAAGCTCAGACCTGCATTTCTGACTACAAATACTCTCATACTCCTAACTCCATTGGTGGTCTGCTCCTTCTTCTCCCCCAGACTGTGCATCCGCAGTATTTTAAATTATTAAAAGGTGGAAATATGCATTGATTTTACTAATAAACAATTAAATATAGTTTAGTGCAATTAAAATGAAGGTTTTGGTAGTAAAATGAAGATTACATCAATATGAAAAATTTAACACAAAATATCCTGGGTTATCATTTTCTCGCTGTTCTGTTTGAGATATTTTTTAAATAAACTTCTAGCAATGCTTCAAGCCCAAAGCATTCAGCGTTTATAAGTAAACAAATGGGATTACCGATGTTTTCCTTCCCTTTCCAGCAATCAGTGCAGCATAATTAATTGCAAAGAGAAGCAAATTGAGTTTAATACTATGGGTGTAAATCAATATGCTGCTTATAGTACCTTTGTTTCTGAAGTTTGCCTTTGCCTTCCCACTGAAAGCAGAGGAAACCAACTGCTCTTCGTCTCCGCTGCTTTCTCAGCCAGAGACTCTGCTACTTAATAAGCTTACTAGCTGCTGATGAAATGAATACACACACACACACTACATATACACACACTGTATAAACTTTAGATAGTCTGTCTTTATTAGGCCAAACTCACTCATCTGATTTTCTGTATTTCTATATATTCCAGTACTGAATCCCTAAAACGTTCGCCAAATTTACAGACCTACCTCACAATATAGTAACATCTCAAACAGCTTTTAATCCTTTTAACTGAACCTTTGTATATATATTTGAACATGTTTCCTACAACCTCAGCTGCGTAAGCTAGAAAAAAAACATATGGTGCATAGTAGAATGCTGGAGTATTAGATTAATGGTTTTCCATTTACAAATTGCAGGTCCAAGGATGTTCATTGATTATTAACAGAAAACAAATGGAGCTAATATTCTACTATCTTCTACCCTGCGTGAAGGAACACTGTTGGTGAAAAGCCTTTTTTAAAGAGATCCAAGTACCATTATGGTAAAAAGATTCCCTACATGATCTTAAGGCATATAGGAATGGCAAGCTCTCTCATTTGCAATGTATATAGTGGCCTGTAAAAACAAAATTAAGAAATTTACTTTTTGTACTGTCACATTTCAGTCAATTTCAAGTATAATTAATTTGGCTTCTCAAGAACTTTAATTTCCTATACAAAAGTGTTTCTTTTTCCATTCCAATCAAAATGCTTACAATGAACTTCTTTGAAAACATCAAAAAATCCGATTTTTGGGGCATTACTACCAAACTGTGAGTACTGTTATCTTTTGCACAGATACTTTAAACATGGAAACTTACTCTGCCTCGCTATCACCTGTTATATGCAACAGTACAACTTTTAACCTAAACGGATCGCATTTGTGTAATGAAAGCCTATCTTCCAGATTAGCTGATAAATCAGAACACCAACAATATGTTATTGGTCTTTTCTTATCGTGTCTTTACACAATATTCCTTTTTCCTATTGGTTTTGTAGGAAACATTCTGATACTGGTTGTGAACATAAGCTTTCGTGAAAAAATGACTATTCCAGACCTTTACTTTATAAACCTTGCAGTAGCTGATCTCATTTTAGTTGCTGATTCTCTCATTGAGGTTTTTAATCTTGATGAAAAGTATTACGATATCACTATTATATGTACCTTTATGTCTTTGTTCCTTCAGATCAACATGTATAGCAGCATTTTCTTTCTGACATGGATGAGTTTTGACAGATACATAGCACTGGCAAAAGTAATGAGGTCCAACATATTTCGCACTATGCAACACGCTAGATTAAGCTGTGGTCTCATATGGATGGCGTCTATTTCGGCAGCACTAGTTCCGTTTACAGCTGTGCACTTACAACACACCGGAGAGGTCCATTTTTGTTTTGCAGATGTAAAAGAAATCCAGTGGCTAGAAATAACCTTGGGGTTTATTATCCCCTTTGTGATCATCGGTCTTTGTTACTCATTAATTGTCCGAGTTCTTATAAAAGCACACAAGCACAGGAGTCTTCGTCTGCGGCGACAAAAGGCTCTTCGGATGATTTTCGTTGTCGTCTTGGTTTTCTTTATCTGCTGGCTACCTGAAAACGTCTTCATTAGTGTTCAGCTTCTCCAGAAGAAAAGCGAGCCTGTCTCTTCGAGCAGCCCATCTTTCAGACACGATTATCCCTTAACAGGACATATTGTGAACCTAGCAGCTTTTTCTAATAGCTGTTTGAACCCCTTAATTTACAGTTTTCTAGGGGAAACCTTCAGAGACAAACTGCGACTGTACATTGAACAGAAAACCAAAATGTCAACGCTGCATCGCTTTTGTCAGGCTGCCTTAACGTCTGTCATTCCTGACAGTAACGAGCAATCGGAGGTTTGATTTAGCAGTGGTTGTAGAAAACATACAACTATGAAGTTGTGCAAATAGTGAACAAGATGCTTGCTACTAACAGAAAAAAGTGCGCCTGTGTGCGTATGTATTATATCGCTCTGCTGAGTATTGAAGGTTTGTCATAAAAACATTTTGAATATAACTTTAAAGTAGAAGAATGTTTCAGGCAGATTTATATTTAATTATGAACAGGATTATTAAAAGCTGAGCACTGAAGGAGCTTTATTTTATATTAAACGTGTATGACTGATAATATAGAAGAAAATTTTATCAAGCTAGGAAGACTCTAGATTTAACTTGATTATCAGAGATGCTATTTTGCTGGTGTAGATAAGGTACTTCCACTTAAATAATGGAGCTGCCATAACAGTGGAGAAAAAAAATCATTGCAACATATTGATATGGAGATGCAGAAAACAATTATTTTTCATCCAAATATGTTAAGTTAAATGACTTTGCTTTCCAGAACTATATAGTATTATCATCATTGTATTCCAGCACGTCTTCCACAATTAACTTTTTAAAATCTTAATATAATCTAGAATGGTGATGAGTTTTCGTCTCAAATCTAATCTGTTTACATCAGTACTTGATCACACCTGAAATCATCTGTAACTAGGCTGTTCATCTCAAGGAACTTAAGAAGCAAAACATAATGCTTCATTCTTTTAAGGATTGCCCAAGACAGTCTTTCCCAGGACAGATATTACTGGGCTTTTTGTCAAAAATGCAAGTGCACATGATTGCTCATTCACATTCAGATTTAAATGAAAGTTGCGTGAGATCTGTTTACACTTTGCAGGCCTATTTTGATGGCCAGAACAGAATCCAGTGGCTTTAAAAAAGGCACTTTCTAAAAAAGACTTAGGGATTGCTTATGAAAGTGACAAAATCTTTTTTTTTTTTTTTAATAAGAACTTTCTGTAAAGGGAAACATGATTAGCTGTCATCAGACCTGCACTCTGTCCATCCCACCTCCAGAAACCACTGGTCTTTCAGGATTTTAAGGTGCATGTTGGTTGCTTTGTTCATCTGAAGACAAATCATACTAAGAAAACAAATGTTAGCACCATACACATGGAAACAACAGCTTCTGATTTCTGTCAGGAGATAATTGGGTTTTGAATCTGGAGGAGGTTTAGCACAGGTTACTACTGAACTTGTTCAGAGGAGGCTATAAAGTTCCTAGAGATTGGTGCTCAAGACCATTAAAACGTCGTTCGCTGCATCTCAGAAATACACAAACTAATTCACAGAGTAAAGCACCAGAACACTGCAGAATAAGGTATTTTACCCAATTTTTTAATATATTGGTTCATATATGAACCAATTAGCACAAAAAAAAAAAAAAAAGATTTTTAGAGGATTTCTAAAATATAGACGCTTAAAGCAACTAGTAGAGCTCTAAGCAGTAAAGAAAGCAGTAAGAACAATGATTGCCCTCAGCTCTCATGAAATACTTAAGTTTCTTAGTGGAAGTTTAGCCACAAAAGACTTGACCTATAATCAGAGGCCCCATGATGATGGCTGAATTTGAAATGGATAGCTGCACATTCCCGAAACAAAAACAGGAACTGCAGGGTGGAGTTTGCTGCAACTGCTGATTATTTCCAAGTGACTGTTAACCGTGACCCAAGGAAAAGTTTCATTCAGTCCCATCTTTCCTGCAGAACACTAAATATAATTTCTCTCCAGAAAGGTGCAAGAACTGCCATGCCTCCTCTGCATAGACCAAGTTGCTAAACAAGACATACCAAAAAGTCTCAAACTATCCTGCAGCATTACACGTAGCCCGTTTCCCTAATTATTTTCTTGTCTGGAATTAGCCACGATTCTCCATGTCCTATTGACTGCCAGTGTACATCAGTTACACCTTGGAAAGATGGCTATTTCAGACAACACAGAACTAAATGAGCTGATAATTCTTTCAGCAGCTGAATTCCATGAAGTAAAATGCACCATCTGAGCATGCAGATATATTGGGGTTGTGTGATCTTACTTGTCATGAATAAAGCAACTTATTTGGGGTTACAGCAATACAATTTCCCAACTGTAGTTGTTGCTCATTTGGGTTTTCTAGGAGTAAACTTATCCCTCCTCCACCTTTCCAATATAGGAATATTTTTTCATCAAGCTGGAAGCCCTTTTAACACCACTGCAGGTAACAAGTCACGAACGTCTCTTTGCTCAGAAATTTATCACAAACAGATAGTAATAATAAATGCCTGCTTGCACATGTTATGAAATTTTTCTGCATGATCATATTCAGTGATGTCCTTATACCACAGAAAAAGCTAGGAAAGATCAGATTATTATAGAATGAAGAAAACAGCATTTAGCTACTCAACCTGAAACGTCGTATTACACATTTAAAAGCACATTACAAATCTGAGCTACATGAGGAGCTTCCTACTGTTGGTATTTTGGTTCAAATTTATGAACTGAACCTAAATGACTACATTTAAACATGCTATATATTTTAAATAAATAGAAGAAACCTCTCCCAAGTAAAAAAGAAAAAAAAAAAACAAAAAAACACCACACTGCTTCACAGATTTTGTTTTTTAATGGCAACTATGAACAAATTGATATTTAATGAAATGCCACATGATTGTCATACATTTTTATATTGTATTTTTCACAGATGCTGATCAACATGTTTTCTGCAGCCCATCATCTTGTAATAACTTCTTGCTATGGCTCATCCAGGAACCAAAAAGACCCGTATTTTATACGGTTTTCTTTAAAATTGAAGAGCATGATAATCACTAAACAAAAGCTTTTCATGAGTGCAGGGTAAAGCGGAAATGAGAGCAAGAATTTGGATACTTTTTCATTTAACGTTTCTCTGGGGTCTCTCACAAATTGTTTAGTTTAAGGACAGGATTCCATATGCCTTTCTAAAATGCTGGACCCACAATTATGAGATTTGAAAAATCTGCAGATCACAGATGCTTACAATCCTTGCTACAATAACCTACACTAAGTCTCCAGACAAGAACAGTATCATTAGGAAATTCACACAGAAAAATCAAAGAATCCCTTAAATCCTTAACTGCTCTTGTAAATAGTAACTTAACACGAAAATGTCTTGGAAACAGAGTATTACTGGGTATCTAGAAAAAAAATTAAATCCCAATAGCACAAATTAGCAGCAGTCTGAATCAGATGCAACAGGCGGCCCCAGATTCCCAGCAAGACGAACCAGATGTGAGACAAGTCACCCCTTCCTTCCCCTCTGTTTGACAAAAACACCAGAAGGCTAGCGCTCAAAATGAGTGATCCATCAACTACAAAAGAGAACATATGTTATAAAATAAATGTTAAAAGCAAAAAACAGAATTCTTAAAACATGGTTTTCTTCAATATCGCTTCTATCAGAAAATGCTTTTTGAATTTCAGACCAAGTACCTATCTTGTAGACAAAATTCACTGGCTGTACAATGCATGCTCTTATCTTTTTTCCAGCCATCAAGTTAGGTTAGAAGCTAATAATGTTTCATCAGGGGAGGATTTTGCTGTAGTTTCAGCTGTTTACTATGATTGCAAAAGGGAAAAGGTTAGTTACCTGGACAATTTTGACTGGTTAGGATTGTCACAAGTATAAAAGCATTAACGAATTTAACCTAGATTACCATATAGTTCCATTTGTTTCTACATTCAACTTGATTCTAGATAAATAGGAAAAACAAATGAGTATGAAGAAGACAGGTTTGAATTTTAATAGCATGAAGATGAATCAATGAATTCATTTGATTTGGGCTGAAAACGAAGATATGGCTGCAGCTTTAATTTAAAAGACAGCATCCTTCCCTCCCACTCATACCCTACAAATTCAGACCAGCATACAAGTATTTAGGTCTCTTATAAAAGAAGAGCACTGAGCCAAATTCATTGTTGAAGTCAGTTAATTGAATTATGTCTTTGCAACAGAACTTTACCATTACATTACCAATTACATTTACCCCTTGGTCCACAATTAGACCTAGCCATTTCTTGTTCAAAGACTGTTTATGCTAAGGGACGATTATTATTTTTACATTCTGTTTAATAAACATGTCACCAATAAACATTTCCATCTCAGAATTGCATTTTATCTTTTTTTTTTTTAATGTTTAATCTGCAATAACAGATGACAGGGAACAAGTCATTTTTAAGCCATGTATACAGATCATCTCGCCTGTACACTCTTGTGATCCATGCCATGTGCTATGTTTTAAGGAGAGACACTGGATTTGAAAATCTGAACACTCTCCATTCATATTTATAATCTAGGTATCTTTTCTTCAATGGTATTTTCCAAACTATTTATTCTCCATTGACATATGATACACTAAAGTTTTAGCCCTTGGCTTTTAGCTTCCTTTTAGGCTTCCATTCCATCATATGGCAGCATGACACAGCCAGAAGCTAAGAATAAACAGCTGCATACTGAGCCAGCCACCCAAGATGACAACAAAAAAGCCTTCTCAGGACTTCAGACACTGCAGGACTAGCTCGTTACTTTCAACTCAGTCTCTTATATGCTGCTTCAGTTATTTTACATGCACACGTTTAATTCCACTAAACCAGATTTAGAGATGACTGTCTTACTCTCATGATGTAGCCTGTGTGTTTAGAACGGCTCTTGAAGTCATTCAGCTCCAGGGATAAAACCACATCCACTTTTTCAACCTATTTCTCCAAATTATTCAAATGCTGTCTGCTAAAAGTATATGCAGAAACTTCAGTTCTAAGTTCACAAACTACTGAGCTACGTGTTATCAAGAAAGCTCCACAAACGTGTTTTTAAATATAACTACCCTAAAAAATCATTTAATTGTTAGTATTAATGCAGCAGGATAAGCCTTTCCAGAACAACAACTTCGTGTAGAAATCCCAATTCAGTTGACCTGCAAACAAATTGTTATTCCTCAGGCTTAGAACCTTTTCAAATCGCATGGAGTATGTTTCTGGAAGGACTTCAGAAAAACTGGAGAAAAAACAACATACTAGAGAAATAGGGAAAATATTAGAATGTTGTTAAATTATCCTTTAGAATGGAATTAAGTGTATTTCAACAAGAAGAGCTCACTGATGGAGTTGCTTAATAGTGGTGCAGATGTTTCTGCAGTTGAGGCAGAAAACGTACATTTCCTTTCCCGGACATTCTCTCAATAGATAACAGAAATACAATAGCAAATAAGATTTTCTTCCATTCATTCTCTCTCCATTAAGAACTGAAGAGCAACAGCCTTAACCTGACTATAGAAACCATTTAACTCATTCCAGCACTCAGATACAAGTACACTCAGCAACCAGAAAGAAGCCAAGGGAAGAGCTCACTTAAATTATGTTCCGAGTGTCCAACTGTGGGGTAGGTAGCAAGACAAAAGAAGATACAGATAGTGATACCTGTGAAAACTTAATTTAGGAGCTCTGTTGGCATTCAAGTACATGAATTCAGAAGAATTACTTCTGATATTATTTAAAGCTTAAAATTCTTATATTACTAAGACGTGATGTGTTCTTTCCTTATTCTGCTGTAAAAGTGGCTGATGATGTACGGCACTGA